ATAGGTACAGTAATATTCTCTCCTCAGGGCACCTCCCTTTCCTCTACCCCAATCCCATTATACTTTGGGAAGATAGCATCTTCTTCCAATTCCAACTGTTTAAATAGAAGCAGGACTTTAATTTCCTGTGTGCTATCCTACCCACCACTGCTTCTTCCTGCTTTCTCTGCAGAACCTATGCATCAGCTCAACAGCCTGCAACCAGGGGAGCCTGCAGCTCGCTCTCAGGTGTTCTCCATTGCTCACTGAAAGAAGGTAAAGTTAAGGCAGGGAACAGCCCTGCTTTTGACTGTTACTGACCATCGCTTTAGTCCAGAGTCCTCAAGCACAGCTGTATCAGTGATATTAACAGGTAGCACACATACAGAGATTCATGAATTGTTCACACGTTATATACCAATTCACATATGGTGAAATCATGAGAATGTCTTTTCTAAGCCTACCAAACTGAGGGGATGGGTGTGGATGAAAAAACAAAGTCAACACTTACCTGAGCTATTTCTGGAAAGAATGCTCAATCACTACTGCAGAACAAGATCATGGTTTCTAACCAGGGTCTAGCGTTATACTAGCACACAAGTACTCTAAAGACAAAAATGTAGTGTACAGTTGATCATTTTGTCCAGCAGGTGTTGCTGGAGACTACAAAACACATAAAACACAACGTCAAGCTGATCAGCTGTTGGGAAGGGGTCAAGCCTCCCCCTGATCCCTCCCTCCAACAAATTCAACAAGGGTTGAGTGTGTAAGTATACTTCTATTAATGACGTTTCAAAGTTATAGTCTACAGTAATGCAATCCATGAAATTGCTGCCTCATCCCTGGCAGCGTTCAAGGCCAGATTGGATGGGACTTTGAGCAACCTGGTCTAGTGGAAGGTGTCCCTGCCTGTGGCAGGTGGTTGGAACTGGATGAGCTTTAAGGTCATTTCCAACCCAAATCATTCTGTGATTCTATGAATTTGAAATCCTGTTTTCAAATATACAAGCAGTGCCTACCTCCATTTCTAGGTGGAAGTAAAGCTTATCTATAACTTCATAAAAAAGCCAAGTAGTCACTATGTTTTTCAGGTTCTACATCTTATTAATTCAGATCTATCCCAACTCAAAATATGTTATTAGGCCTGTAGTCATCAACAGCTTGTATCCATGGGTAGGTGAGGGAGCAGGAAATCAGTGTGCGGATAGGACACTTGGAAATGAAAAAAAAGCAAGCAACCAATCAAACCAACCCTAAAACAACCCACCACAAGATCAAACAAACAAACAAACAAACAAACAAAACAACACCCAAACCCACAGCCAAAAACAAAACCCAAAAACCAACCCCTGCCCACAAACCCAGAAGCACACACACAAAAGCCCCCAAACCCAAACCAAACAAAGATTACCTTAGTAATTCTAGCTGGTTAAACTGCATGAATTTGTGGCAAAAATTGCTGGGAGTTTGATATGTAACCTATGAAAGTAGAACAGCAATTTCTAGTTTGCTACAGTTTCCAACAGGAAGGTGCTAACTTCTCTTTACAGACATACTTTTTGTCCATCCATTGGTCTTCGTGGCTACAATGGATCAGTAGTATGCACATCACAGTGGTGGTTTCTGGAAAAAAATATTATCTAAGTAAATCCAATTGTGTTTCAACAGTAATGGCACAAACTCAATTTGATATAATATTTGAACCACCATGTGTGCCTCAAAATATATAAAAAAATATTAAAACAGCATTTATGATTCAATTATAATGGTTTAGCCTGCAAAGCAAAGAAAAACTAAGGGCCATCAATACTTCTACAGGTAGTCCATGGAAAGGTTTGACTGACAAGACTAATTACCCAGTAAGTGAGTCAATCCTTGGTACTTGAAATTCACATCAAGTTGGATAGGTCAATGCTTTTGTTTGCTTTTTTGTTTCCAACAGGAACTAGTTTTGTACAGTCAAATGGAAGACAATTAATCCACAAATAGTTTAGATGGAACAATTTCAGGATACTCTTTGAAAACCAGCATTAAGTGGTGTCCTGTCTCTACAGGAAACTTAATTCTGCAAAAACTTTCGTCTACCACAACACCCACTCTTTGGGCAGAAGATGAAGCAAGACTAAGCAAGACTAGACAGGTAGTGTTGTCCAGTAACCTATCGTTAGCAAATGGATTACAGACACCGCATCTATATGCAAAGACAGAAAACAAACAAGCAGACAAATATCTGAAGGAGGTGGGGATATGAAATGACTGCTTTCAGTTACTTTTAGGGTCTCTTTTTATGTAGTTACTCAGGAAAGGAGGTACTCTGATCAAAAAAGTTGATGTACTTTTCTATCTCTGTATTAGAAAGTTAAGCTAGATGAATTCACGAGAAAAATGGTTAACCATTTAACTCATTTAGCTTCTTAAATTGATATGAAGCTTTCTTCTTAAAGTGCTAAAGCTTACCTTGTTACACCATGCTTGGCAGAATTCCTTCAAATGGCATCTGACTTTCTACATTTTGTGACAGCTAGTAGCTTCTTCCACCTGAAAAGGTGGCTTGCTTAACTATGTACAACTTTTCCCAAATGTTGTTTTTGCAGGAAATTCGTAAGATAGCAAAATTACTGTGAGATTGTTTCTATTAAAAATGAAAACCCCTTCAATGTCAGTAAAAATAAATACTACTTTTCACTCAGCAAGCATCTGAATCATGAATCACTGGATGCTGGGCATATTCATGGGAAGCATTAATGCACATGTTCCAAATTCGCCTCTTCCCACTGGCCACTGTAGGGCCAGAATTCTCAGCCTCCCCATTGTCCTCAAGAAATCCTATAAAAATCTGAGATAAAATGTCACCCTTGTTACTGCTCCTATAAACTATTTAAAACTCCTGCAGCTCCTTTTTAAACACTTAGCACGCAGGAGAAAGAACATCCAAAGACACTTCAATTACATGGTTTTGGTTGGGCATCCCTTCTATGGCAGATACAAAACACAGGACCAGCAATAGAAGAGAACCACAGAATCATTTATGTTGGAAAAGATCTTTAAGATTGAGCGCAACAGTTAACATAACACTGCCAAGTCAACCACTAAACCATGTCCCCAAGTGCCTATGTATCTTTTAAATGCCTCCAGGGATGTTGACTCAACCACTTCCCTGGGCAGCCTGTTCCAATGCCTGACAACTCTTCCAGTGAAGAAATTTTGCCTGATATCCCATCTAAACCTCCCTGGAGCAACCTGAGGTCATTTCCTCTTGTCCTGTCACTTGCTTACTTGGGAGAAGAGACTAACGCCCACATCACCACAACCTCCTTTCAAGTAGTTGCAGAGAGTGATAAGGTGTCCTTTGAGCTGCCTACTCTCCAGACTAAATACCCCCAGTTCCTTCAGCTGTTCCTCATCAGACTTGTTCTCCAGACCCTTCACCAGCTTTGTTGCCCTTTTCTGGACCCGCTGCAGTCCCTCAATGTCTCTTTTTTAGTGAGGGGCTCAAAACTGAACACAGCCTCACCAGTGCTGAGTTGGTACAAGGGAACAATCCTTTCCTTAGAACTGCTGGTCATGCTATCTCTGATACAAGCCAGGATGCTATTTGACCTTCTTGGCTACCTAGGCACAGAAGCTGGCTCGTATTCAGCCAGATGTCAACCAACACCCCAGGTCCTTTCTCTCTGAGCAGCTTTCAGTGCTGCAAGGGGTTGTTGTGACCCAAGTGCAGAACCTGGCACTGAGCCTTGTTGAACCTCATACAGTTGGTCTCGGTCCATCAGTCAAGCCTGTTCAGGTCCCTGTGGAGAGCCTCGCTAACCCTCAAGCATACAAATATTCCTGCCCAACTTGGTGTCCTCTGCAAACCTACTGAGGCTGCACTCAATCACCTCATCCAGATCACTGATAGGTACCAAACAGAACTAACCCCAATCCTGAGCCCTGGGGACCACTTGTGACCGGCTGCCAACTGCATTTAACTCCATTCACCACCACTTTTTTGGCTTGGTCATCCACCCATCTTTTTATTCAGCAAAGAGAACGCCTCTACAAGCTTACATTTGTTTGGTTGTTTGGTTGTTGTGGTTGTGGGTGGGTTTTTGGTTGTGTTTTTTGGGGGGGTTTTTTGTTGTTGTGTGTGTTGGTGTTTTGGTTTTTGTGTGTTTGAACAAAACAATGAGAGATATTTTAAGTTCTCTCACAAACAAGATAGGACTATCTTACAAAGTAAAAACTTAAAGGTATTTCAGTCTATCAGCTTTTACTGATAAGAAGTGCATATCCAGAGAATATTATTCAAATTAATTACCTAAACCAAGCCTCTGAATTAGTCATATGAACAGCACTTACAAAAAAATTCTAAGCAGCTTTCATTTGCTGACTGCAAAATGGAACTGTGACCACCCATTCAATTCACAGCTTGTCTGATAGTCACCTGCACCACTTTAATACACGTAAAAGCTTCCCCAACAGACTAATCTGTTACGCCTTTATTGTATCTTTCTGTATTTATATAGCTTTACTGTATCTCTCATTTTCATGAGGGACAAAAGACATGCGTATTTTATGCCCACGCCACAGAACATGCAGTCACTGTGTTCCCTAGACTATTCCTATTTCTCCCACTGTTCTCTTCCCAACTTCTAAATTAAGTTGAATTTATTCAACTTCTCATCCTCAGCAATTCATGAATTTTCCTCCTTACTTCAGACCAGGTCTTTCGTCAGGGTTTCATCTAGTCCTCCCATCTTCACAGTCATGGGTTCCACCTGAAATCTTCCAACGGCTTAATCTTTCCAACATGTAATATCATTTCTGAAGCTGTAGAGACACACTGCTAGATACTAATGCAGACTGGTGCTTCCCTCCTATAACAACTATCAGAAAGTATGCCATCTTCCACTATCACTAGAGGGAGCCACAAGCATTACACAGGAGCAGGAAGCAGATTTAATCAGGTCTTGCCATAGTATATTCCTAACTCAGTGTATTTCCACAACTATAGGGCTAAATAAGCGTAAACGACAACATTAAACAAAACTTTTAACTTTAATATTCAAATTCAACACTAGTAAGAACAAACAGAGCACAAATGGGAAACACTGTTTAAACTAAAATTAATGAAGAAACAAGCCAGTAATTAGAACAGTTCTATTTCTTAGCAACATCTGTCAGCCTAGGTCCAACATCAGTACACATTCTGATGGCCACTTCCTGTTCATTTTGGAACTTTGAATAGTTAATCTTTGTCTGTTGGCATGTCAAATTGCAGTCTCAGTAAAGTATACTATAAACACCAAACTTATGTACATAAACAGTGAAGAACAACTTGAACACTTACACTAAATTATTTACAAGTACTCCAACATTAAAAAAAAACCAAAAACATAAAATAACCTCAAAGAATGGACAACTGAAGAGAATAAAAACACTTAAGAGAACCTTATTAGAAAGAATTACAAAACATCAATAGCCAAGACATTAACAATTGCACTACACTAATACAGAGCCCAAATATTAAATTGGTGCATTATTTCACAATGCACTAGCTTTGAGAGAAAAATGCTGCCTTCACTAAAACGCAGCTTTTATTTGTTTCATGTAATTGTTTTAACAAGAAGCCTATTAACACAATAATGATTGTTTTAATGCTACAGTTTACAGCAAGGACAACAAACTAAAAATAGCAGCAGTTCCACTTGGCACTTAATTCCACAGGTTTCTAAGCTGTGGTTTATGCAATGCCTACAAAGTGCTCCCAGTTGAATATACAAATAAAATTCACAATAAAAGTCTACCTGACGTCAGGTACATTGAGTGTAGGTGGCCTTCAAGCCAAAAACATATTCCCCTCTGCTCCAAAAAATCAGTAACAACCAAAGCAAGGCCTCCTCCCTCCCTCTTAAAGATCATTAGGGATATTACTTCTTATTACAATGCCATAACACTACAAAGCAGCACACCACTATAGTGGTTAACCCTGGGACGATGTAACATCTAACAGTGTAACTGAAAAGCTTATGGACTAACATCCAGGATCTTCTATGAACAAGACAGTAACAGAGTCCATTAACTCAAATGGTTAATACAGCTTATAAGCCATATTGTACAAGAACAAACCCAGAAACAATTCCTGTAAAACTAGTGGCACTGATCAAAGACAGGACAAGAAACCGGGAATTTAATTCTTTTAATTCCTTGGGCTTCAGTCTGGCAGAGATGTTTAGCCATCCTCAGTAGTTCTTTTATACGTCAGTTAGTATATAGTAAGACTAACTGAGCGGTTCATTTTCTTTCCAATGAGTCGAGATGGTCTATTTTGTGTTGTAGATCTAGTTGTCATTCTGTCAGTGAATAGTGCCCGCTCCTCAGCTGCAGCCTTTGCCATCTGTGCCTTCTTCAGCTCTCTGCAAGACATCAAGAGAGTCACACATATGCAACGGTACTAGTAAGGACTATAGGCATATTGCAGCAAAAGCATTTCAAATGAATTACAGCAGTTGCAGAACTTAAGATCTGCCATCAATTTAGGTCATACTAAGACCATTATCATTCCCATCTACCTGTTTACAACCCAGAGAACAGAGGTGGGATGTCTGTTATTCATCTAGATGTTATTTCTTTTAAACAAGGGAAGAAAATGTCAAATTCACATAACTTGGTCAGATTTTGAAAACCATCCTTTCACAAGCAGCTCAACACTTCGTTTACCAGAATGTGGTAGGATGCTGTTTACTTTCTAGTACAAGCATGTGATAAATCACCAAAGAGCTAGTTACTGAGGTCTGCCCAAATGAAGCACTCATTCACAACTGAATTTTTGTGGAAGATTCAGAGAGACACATACTTGGATTAACAAAGAAGATCATAACCAGCAACAGACAACTCGGGAAGCATCCTTTTCCCTTTGCATTGCCCACATCAAGGCTTATCACCAACTAAATCTTTTTTTGCCTAACAAATTTGAGCCCAAACCTGCAAGGCTGAGTCACTGAAGGTAGCATAGGTCATTGTCCCTGTGCAGTATTCTCTCAACTATTCTGTTTCAGAGAATTACCAATATTCAGTCTGAAAGTTACATAAAATTCAGGGGAAAACTATTAAATAGTCTGAGTAAAGAACGAAGTTATCTTGACAACTATTTCCCCACACACTCCTTTTCCTAAACGCTATCTTATGGCTAAGTGTAGTATTTCCTCATATGCTTTTCTTTCTTCTATCCCCAACTACTCCTCCTCAAAGAATTTTCTCTAACATAAGAACTAGCATTTGTAATGTCACTTGAAATCTGGATTTAAAAGCAAGATCAAATTGCACAAGCTTGCTGCACATTGGCGTACGTGTATTTAGTTTTAAGTTACATACTTTACTTAAAAAAACCTACTCCTGTTCTTGTCAGCCAAAGTATTATTCACTAACACCCATGCCGCATCTAATCCTCCCCACATTAGCACTGTGTCAGTTCACTGCAAAAGAATGCAATCAATTTTTAATTGTCTTCCCTGAAGACTAAACATCAGTCACAAACGCATGCATATGTGCACAGCCACCCACCACACCATTACCAGGACGTAAGTTTTATAATATACTTCCATTCTTTTCTAGAAGTCTGATCTTGAATTCTTCCTTCCCCTGAAGAAGACAACACAGTAGAAAGGCATTTCCCTACAAGGATTCCTTTCACTGATGGTAACTTACATACCAAAGTGGTATCTTAAACGGGTCAAAATGCAAGAGGGTTAAAAAAAAAATAAAAATCCCAACAAACAAAATAGAAACACCTTAACTAATTTATAGAACACTACCCCCACAATGTTAATACTTACTATGGAGAATTGTTCTTTTTAAATCATTTCTGGATTTATAGTTATAAGGCTGTACCCTACTTGATGCCAGGCAAGAAGCAGTCTTCACAAAATACTAACGTTGCCCATTTCCCCTTTCACATATGATACAAGAATATGTTGTCTTTATACAAGCAAGTTACCTCAACAAAACCGACCAACACTCTGCACAAACTGTCAAATTATTCTTTCTGCAGTCAGTGTAATTCAAAATAAGATTATAAATATAACCATCTGAAATGGCAAGTCTGGCTACATTCAGACTGTAGCAGTGGCAAGATAAGCAGAGAGCAACGGGGAGAATCCAAACGCAAAGTTAATATCTTTATTCAAAATGAACCAGTCTGTAAGTAATCTTTGTTGTGTATTCCCTCATAAAAACCTGCCTATTATGCATAACACATGCAACGTTAACTGTAGTGAAAGATTTAGATGACTGCTTCTTAACTTACTAACTCTTCCTCTGAAACTTATGCAGAAATCAGACTTCCCTGAAGAAAAACTCTTCTTTAAAGCTTTAATTCGGAGTTGACTGTTTGAGCAAGGGGTAGGACAAGATGACCTCCCAATGAAAGTGATTCTCTGGTAACTGAATAACACTGCTGTATACAAGTAATATTAATTCAAAAACATTCCTGATGTGCCATTCCATTTAAGTTCAAAACAGGTCATTTAAGTCATGTTTTCCAACATGTTTCAATGTACAGACTACCTAGGAAAACGTACAGATGTAAATTACACGCTACCTGTCATGAAAGTATGGCTTATGCTTGAAAGGTTTTTTAAAAACCGCAATGTTTCTTATGCCCTGAATACTAATAGTGTAGTTTTGATTCCCTTAGAGTGTTCAAGAAGTTCCTTCTATGAAGAAAGTTCCTTTTGAAGTTACAGAACCCATTTTGTCCTCTCAGGTAAGTACATGCATACAGATTTGTGGACTTCATGCACAAACAAGGACAGTCCTGCTTTACCATCACTCTACTATCATATGAAAACCCATTAGAAATTAAGTTATATTTAAGGTCCCTGAGGAACTACTTACTTCTGCAAAAGTGAATTTTTGAATTTTTCAGCATTCAGTTCTATCCGGAGCTGCTCTGCGCTCTTTTTTGCAGCAGAGAGAAGCACTGAATGCTTGACTAGTGCCACAGCTGAAGGCCTTTTCTCTGGATCAGGATTAATCATAACCTTGGGAAAAAGAAAATAAGGCATTCTAGTTAAGGCCACTAACACAGTAAATTACACTAATCAATGAGCCACCAACAGAAGAGTTCTTACTTTTAGTAGGTCTAGTAATTCTTGAGAAAGCACTTGCGGTATTCTAGGTATTTTTCCTTGTCGAATTTCGTGCCATTGGTCCCCATTAGATGGAAGCGGTTCAGCCCCAGCAGCACAGACAACAGTCAGAGCAAGAGCAAAAATATCTGCTTTTGGCAAATGAGTGTAGTTCTTGAAAAACAAAAATAAAAATTTACTAGACATAGCCCCCAGAAATGTAACAGCTCAACTATTCAGCACTGAACACATGTACAGTATTACAAGTACTACCAGAGTTCAAAGGGACACCATTTAGGAAGTTTCCCCCTCAGCAAGGAGGCAGCAAACAGCAACTTATTACTCTAAGGAAAACAGCATGCAGACTAACATCACTATTTTCCACAAACAGAACATTACCTCTTGTAGAACTTCATTTGCAAGAAAACGGCTATCACCTTCCTCCACTTGTGGACTAGATACTCGAGTCACATGACCAAGGTCACCTACAAAAAACAGAAGAAAGTTATTTTTTCAGAAGACAAACAATACCATTCTTTTTAGCATGTGTGCTGCTTCTCACCTATTTTAAATATGACTCTATCAGATGACCAGTCATCATCATCACCTTCTTCTGAAGTTATGCTTGGGACTGATGTCCGAGATATGAAAATATTACCTGAAAAAGAGCAGATTTGTAAAAAAAAAACAAACAAAACCACACCAAAAAACCCACAAAAAAACTACAAGAAAAAAAAAAAACCAAGAAAAAAAAATGACAAAAAAACCCTCAAGAAACAAAAAAACAACAGCAAAAAAAAATCCAACAAAAAAAAAACACCACCAAACCACAACTGTCCAATTTCTACTTCATCTACTTTCACTGCAGTAGTTGTATACATACACTGTTTTGCAAGAAACTATAACTTACTCTGGCCCCTCTGCTGGGAGGGGAGCCAAGTGTTATGCAAGTAGAGTCAATTACATGAAAAGGACCCAAGATAAACGCAACAACAGTTTAAGTTTGCTAGCCAACTTTATAACTGACATCTTTGTACTGCTGTTTAGAACTTCAGTGAAGAATTTACAGTTAGTAAGGTGTGGCTAACTGCTCATTTTTCTACAGCAGATTAACTGAGGAAGTTGTCAATACAGAGCAAAACATTTTACAGACTTACTTGGCTTGATATCCATGTGTACCAATGACATTGAATGAATGTACTTTAAACCACGAGCCACCTGAAGTAGCAGGTCTTTCAATTCTGGTTCAGTAAAATAACGCATATTCCTGTAATTTTCACTTATGGCATCTGCTAAGCTTCCACCTAAAACAACATTAAAGAAAACAACATAATTATTTTACATCAAACAGTTGACAAAATGACAACTTGCTTCCAAAAGTAAGTACAATTGGCTCCCAAAATAAACAGTGAATATGTATCACCAAGAACCTGCTTGTGATGCATAGGAATGGCAAAATCTAGTGCTGCATCCCCCTTTTGTAGCCATAGAAAAGAAAATTATTTTTCTGCTGTAGTTGCCCTGCAAATTAACAGGATACCAAGACAAGGGAAAAAGATCTCTTCCCTCTCTTCTAAATCTCTGGCAGGGTATCAACCATAGCAAATGCTCCAGAAACCAGGGCCACCTCCCTTGAAAAAGAAACTCACTGGTAATTCTCTATTCCAGCGTGTACTATTGTACAGAGAGAGAACAGTTTTGCTGCCTGCAAATGCCTCACTGTACTTCCAATATTCTTGAATGGTCAAGACTTTGTCTAAGATTTCGTGCAGGTTTTGCTTCATGTATCTGATATGCCTTTTCAGAACATCAGAAACGTTTTGAGACAATAACATATGTGCTATGTGTACAGCAATCAATTTTTAATTAGTGCTAGGGATTTGTAAGGACACCTATATAACTTCAAAAATTTGATTTTTTTAAAGCAAGTTCAGAACAAGCTGTAAACTTTACTTACCATTGCAGTATTCATTCTGTATAAGCATATGATCATCTTCTGCCCATGCTGAGTAGTATCTTACTACATGAGAATGCTGTCCCAGAACTGCGTGTGCATAGACTTCTCTTAAAGCATTTTGCCTAGTACAGTCATAAAAATAACAGCACTCAAGAATATTATGAGGTTGAAGTAGCCTAATTTCAGCTTGATAGAAACACTCGTTATAATATCATGCACCACTGCAAGCTCAGGTTTCTAATAAAAACCTTTATATTCAGTTCTGAGGCACCTTAAAGTGGATTTGTATTTATATTCAAATAGCTAAAATAATTAATATTGCATTGAAGGTCTAAGCATATAGAACCCCAGGTTTTGTTGTAGATAATTCTTGAGGGATCTACCACTTCCATGACATACTTTCTAATCAACAAGCTTTAAGAAGCATCAGTAAAGACTTAGGAAAAACTGATGATCATGAGCCAAGAACTGAACTCAAGATTCAGAACTTTTTGTATGTAAGTCTTGGTATGCAATTTTGAGCAAGTCAAACTTGTGGAGTTTTATATTAATAGTTACTATTAGAACATTTAATTATTTAATAATTATTTGATTAATAGTTACTATTAGATTAATAGTTACTATTCTAATATTAATAGTTACTATTAGAGGAGGGAAAAAATGTCATGAATCACAGGCTCCTTCACAAATACCAAAACAAGTCCAAAAACTGAATCGACATGTCAAGTTGACAAAGATGAGGACCTAGTTGAGCATACTGCTTTCCTTTCATATGCCAAAGGATCATCACTTTGTATAGTCCCTCCTGCCATCAATGCAAGTATTATTCTTACTTTGCAGATTAAAAAATCTGTTTCCACACAGATAACTGGGACAAGTATCTGCTAGAAAAAGACCAGCCAGCTAACCTGTCCTCCACGGTACTGCACACTACTCTTAAAAAAAACACGAAAGTGACTTCAAAACTGTACCTGCTTTACATTTAATTCATGCGTATTTACACTTTTGCCTTAAATTACTTCCCTAGACACCATAACAAAGAGACACAGGAGGAAAAAGTACCAAGAGGTGGCTTTTAACTTTTAATAGCAGGAAACACTCACTCATCCACTGAGCCAGCTAACGGTTTCTTGGATCGCTTTATTGCATAAATACAGCCGTCAAGTCTCTTCACACATTTAAACACAGAGCCAAATTCACCAGAGCCAATCTTCTCCAACTCGTGAAATTCTGTTGCATACCGTGACTTCATATTGCTTTCTGTTATTGTTATCCTCTGTAAATATTAGAAAGGAAAATAGTTAGATCTGGAGATACACAAAATGCCAAATGTAGTATCAAGATCTAAAGATTAATCACCTTAGCTGGTCTGATCGTTTCATCTTCAGGCTCTCCATCACTTGCTTCCATGTCCTCTCCACAAGAGCTGAAATTCACAACAGTTATTTTTGCACAAGTAATGTGGCTTAAGTAAACTCAAAACTGAAGTCTAGCAGCTGTTGGTAAAATTAGATCTCAGTGAAATCATTATACCTAAGTTTAGTTGAACTAGTTGAATGCTAGACATTTCACAAGTGCGAACTCTTATATAAGGGTACCAGGTTTTTTTCCTCCTCAAGAAAAGACTGTGTGCATAGTTCATGCGGTCAGGTGAAAAGACTGTAGGTCACAGCCTTGTCTATACTCTACATATTAATCATAAGATCTAGTGCTAAACGGTTATTTCATAATATCATCCCAAAGCAGATACTTTAAAAAGTTGCAAAGAAAAATACTTTTATAGAATCAATTTGTAACAAAATTTTTCCAGCTAGAAGTAGTTCTAAAGATAAGCTTAACAAAGGAAGATAAAAGTTACTCACTCATTCCAGTGTGTTCTCTTCCTCCTACGACATTTTCCTTCAGAGTTGTGAAGAAACATGGAATCAGGAGTGAAAGGATTGATGTTCACATGAGGTGTTCGTCTAATATCATCGTCTTGCTTCTCTGATTTCCCAACATTCATAAACAGAGAGCCCCCTCGAAGTTTAACTGAGCTGGAGCCTATTCCTTGTGCTTTACAAAGCAAACTCTGAATTTATAGGAAAAAAAAGACATTTAGAAAATTATTAGGCCTTACGCTCCACACAAAAACAGTTAAATGAAACACTGAATGTTAGATTAGTTTTTAATAGACAAGAAAGATTACAAAAGCAATTGTTTTTCTATCTTTAATCATGTCATCACCTAAGCTTCTTGGACAACTCTTTGTCCATGAAATAAACACAGACGAAATTCACAGACCATTCTGTGCTGTATCACCGTGATTTTCACATACAAGATTTAGAAAATCATAGACATAGGAAATTACCTTTGGTGACTACAAATTTAGGTGGCGATTAATACTGATGCACAAATGACTCTTCATGAACCTTCAAAAGGTTGCTCAAGAACTGACACCAATGTTGTGCTGTAAGTTCAACATCCAGGCCAGAACTTTTGGGTCATGATTTGTCAGACCAGGCATCTTCCAGGCACATGATAAAACTTCCCCAGTTTGCACCCCCAGTCTCGCAACCCCAGTCTCCTGCATCCTGGTGATGATGCCAAGCACTGACCTACTGGATCCTAGCGCCTAACACCTTTCAAAATAAAGAATTAACATAACTAAAGCCTAAACCACCATAGGAAAGACGGCTCAATGCTTGGAAATCTCAACTGCACTCTCCAAATCTGGAACAGATGAAGAGCTTTAAATCACTGTTTCAACACACATTTCGGTACTTCCACTGGATACCCTGGCCAACTGATTCCTCCAGATTCCAAAAGTAACCTCTCCAAGATAACCCCTGTAGAATTTGGGCACCTAATTTAAAAATCCCACTGACAGGCAGGGTCAGGACCTTGTTTTGGTGTCGCAATCAACAAGCCTCTTGCATCTGTAAAGTGTTGCTCCTTACTCGATACAAGATCATCACCCGTTTTTACAATTTCCATATAAGCACCGCTCATTTCTACCAGTGAAACCTCACTTAAGATGGAAGCTGCAGAAAACCAATTAACAAGGTTGCGTTCCTCGCACCTTAAATCAGTTGTTTTCGATCTATAGTCTACAGACCTCTGGGAGATTATCCCTGGGGATTATCCTCGGATTACTTCAAAAGGGCTATATGAAAAGTAATGAGGAAAGCAAGCCTATTGTCACTATTTAAATTCACTATACCGTGTTTTACATGAATGTCGAGTTCAGAAGTTGAAATGCCTTACAAAAGTTTGTTATTGTCAGAGTTAAGAGCTACCCATCCCTTTAAGCTTTCAAATCCATCAGTTTAACAGCATCGGCTACTGCTACTCGAACTGCATTCTACGTTTCAAGAGTGAAGGCAGTGAGCTGATGCTGGCACACCTCACCACAATAGCAATGGCACTCGAATGGGAGGCATCGATTAGACACACAGGGCAAACTCCAACTCAAGCTTTAGCTTTCTGTTTACTAAGGGACAAATGCCCACGCAACACTAGAATACTTATTTTAAAAGTTCACTATTGCGCTTTTTCTAGTTTTTTCCTAGCTTTTCTAGTATTTTTCCCACAAAACACAGTAAATGCAGCGTACTTATCTACGTATAAGTCATATATATGAAAGTGTAAAAATGTTTTTACACATGTATCTTTTATGTATATCGGGGGGTGTGCCCCAAACGCCGCTACTCTACGGGACAAAACGCAGGTTTGTGGGTCGCGGCCCGCCGGCAGGCAGCCAGTGCAGCGCAGCGAGCCGAGCGGCGCCGGCCCCAGCGGGGGGGCCCCCTCCCGGTAGGGCTGAACGAGCAACGCAGAGCGCGACGCCCACCCGCTCCCTTCCTCCTCCCCACCCCCGCTTCTCTCCGGCTGGGCCCACCGGGGCGCGCAGCCCGAGCGTCTGCCCCCGCCGGTTACATAACCGTAACGGACGCCTGTGGGCAGGACCCGGGGCTGACGCCAATTCGCCGTTGCGGCCAGGCGGGGTGGCGCAAGCGGCTCGCGGGACGACGCGTCCGGGCCCCCACAGCCCGTCAACACCCGCTTTCCAACCGCCGGGCGCGGCCCCTCCCGCCGCAGACGAGCCTGGCCCGGCCCGGCCCGGCCCAGCCCACCCCAGCCTCCCCCTGCCCCTTCGGCCCGGGCAGGCTGCACCGCGGAGATTGAGGGGCGTCCGGTGCCTCACCTTGGGAGTGTGGGGCGTGTCGAAGAGGCGCAGCTTGCGGAAAGTCTTGTGAGGCGGCGTGCCGGGGTAGTCGGGCAGAGGCGAGCTGGGCTCTTCGCTCCGCACCCGGTATCCACTAGCCGCGGCGCGCGGCGGGGAGCCACCGCAGTAGCGGCGGCCCTTGTGAGGGGGAGGCGGCGAGAGCGAGCCAGCCATGAAATAGGCTCCGGGAGACTTCACCGGAGAGGAGCCGAATCCCTCCTCCTCCCACGAGTCCCCCTCGTCCGGCAGCGGCGCCGCCGCGGCCTCCATCTCCTCCTCCTCCAGCAGAGGCGGGTCGCTCCGCGCCGGGGTGCGAGCAGCCGAGAGCGGCGAGTCTGCCTCCTGGAAGGCTGAATCCGCCTCCTGGAAGGCCGAGTCCCCGCCGGTGCTGTTGCAGCTGCTACCGCCTTCCTCCTCCTCGTCCTCCTCCTCCTCCTCCTCACAGTCGCTGTGGGCGCTCAAGAACAGCAGTTTCTGCCGGATCGGGGCAGCCGCTCGCCGGGCCGAGACCCGCCGCGGCGGCGCCGCCTGCTGCAAGCTGAGGAAGCTCATGGCGGCCCGCTGCGAACCCCGCTGAGGGCCGCACCCGCTGTGCCTGCGCTGCCCCAAGTCTGCCGGGCGCAGCACGCACCCCGGAATAACACTGCCCTCGGGCACAGCTCGCCTCACGCTGTTCGGACTCCGCGGCTTTCCCGCGACCGTTAATCACGTGGCACCCGCGCCAGCCAATCACGCCCACCCACTCGGTTTGAAAACACGGAGGGTGGGGGCGGAACCACACACAGCTGCGTCACGGGGCTCTTTGGCGCGAACGCCGGGAGCGGTCGGGCGGGAGGCGGGGCGGGGGGAGGGGCTCAGGCACCCGAAACCGGCCGCGAGGCGGACACACGTACGTGTCAGCTCGCTGGGGTGCGAGCCCGCGCCATCTTTGCCGCGGGCGCCGCCCCGCCCAGCACCGGCGGCGGTTCCGCCCGGGAGCGGGCGTTGGACGGGCGGGGACCTCGGGCTGCCATCTCGGGCTGCTCTGCCCTGCCCAGTTCGGACCGGTCGCCTTTTGCCCTTCCGTGGCCGCAGAGACCTTCATCACAGCAAGGCTGTTCTGCACCCTTTTGGTTGCTTGGAACGCACAAAAATCTCGTGGCGCCCCAGTAACAGTTCCTATTAGGCCAGTTAAAGACGGCCTTTTTTAGCTAAGCCTTAAAAACAGTACATTCCAAATAACTCGATTCAGGCAATTTAAAATGTCAACAAAACCACAGGAGCAACAACTCCTACAAGACACGAAAAGGAACTCGGGACAGCAAACGTTATTTACCGTAGATGCCATTTATCAAGCTGTTCCCCTACACGTGCCAAAACAGGCTCTCGGCTTCATTTTCCACCTCTTATTACCACCCTGATGAAATGTATCACAAGCCACCAATCTTCCTCCTGTACCAAATCACCTTAAAGTTAACCCCCTGGGTAATAAAGGTCCTGAAAAATTAAGCTCTTTCCAGCCACAGGAGCTGGGGAAAAAAGCCTGGTGCATGTCACTGTTGAGTTTCCCTGTCCTTCCCCACACTCTTGGGGCAGCACAGCATCCTCCAGATGTGCAGGCAGCATCAAGGGTTTACCTCCCTGACAGCTGAGCATGTAGGATGCTTGGACTCCACAGCACAGCCCCTCTTCTACCAGCCTGTGCCCCTCGACAGCTTCCTTCCCAAAGCCTACCCCTCGTGCCTGCAGGGCAAACCCTGATCTACTGCAAATGGCACTCTTCTGCACAGAGCAGGCATAGTCTGGCTGTGAATCTGAAAGCTTCTAAGATAACAAACCAGAACACCTAAGACCCAGCCAATAGAAAGCAGAAGTTTGTACTTAACCATGTTTCTGTTGTTTGCTGATCTGTTGCTGGGTCGCTCATCCTCGATATCCATGGGCAGAAGCCTCAGAAGTAATCTGGGACATGGTTCCAGCTCCCATGGCTGTAGCCGAGGTACAGATGCTGCTGCTGCTGAAGGAAGACCTGTGATCAACAGCAGGGCTCAGAGGCCCTTTTCTTGCTGCCTGCTGAAACGGGACACCCGTATGTCCATTAGATAGTTATTTGTACACAGATTTTCCACTGAGACACAAACCAGAAATACCAGAATACATTTTTATCCATTTTCAGCACTGGTGCTGTTAATACAACTGCCGCTCTCAAAGTGCCCACATGCTTTCAGGAGGTAACAGACAACACGGGGATGCTAGTGTCCCATACTCTGCTACTGCTAGCAGCAACTCCTTTTTAAACCTTTTCTATGTGAAAATACCCACTTCTTTGTGGAGGGCTGCTGTGCAGGGCAGTGTAACTGTCTCCAGCAACTCTCACCAGTACTCTGCAGGGTGTAGCTGGCTGTGCCACCCATGCTGCACAAACCTAAGAGCATTTGAAATTAATGCAGCTAAGTGGACCACTGTCAATGGAACTCTCTATTCACACTCCCCATGCCTGTGCAGTGAAATGGCTTTGCTCAGAGCTCTGTCACCTTGAGATATTTGGGTCATAACCCTTTTCTTTTATAAGGCCTACATAGAAACATTTCTGCTTTACTATCACATCCCTACCTGTTTCTCACGCTTTCAATGGCCTGAAAGCTAAGACAGTTGTTTTGGTTTGGGGTTTTTTTGTCTTTCAGGACAAGCAGTGGTGAGCCACAAGAGCACACTTTTTGACATTATGGAAATGTCCTGAAAACTAGTTTCAGAAAACTGAAAGTAGCCAATCTAACCTATGAAAACAGGATTGGGCAGCATTTACAGAGGTACAGCTACATCAGACTAAGTGCTGTAAAAACATCTGGTGTGCAATAATTTACAATCACACTAATGTCCCATTAAAAACCCTAATGTTTAAAACCAAAGTGTGCCGTACAACAAATACTAAAGCATTCAAGTTTTAGAACAGATGATGTAAGAGCAGGCTATTAAGTAATACAGCCTGTATCTCCTCAGTTAAAAGTCCACAGAGGGAGATGCAAAGCAGTTCCTAAAACATCCCAGGCTACCATCTGTGGCTTGCTTCAGTCATATATGAAGCTTTCTTTTCTAAAAAAAAAAGTTAAGAAATTAAGCTTTCCCCTGAAATGTCAGTTTCCTTCCCAAAATCAACCTAAATAGAACTGGTGTTGCTTTGCTTTCAGCAATCTACTAACACAGGTATTTAGTGAGGGTAAATGGCAAAATGAAATTCAGCAGCCCTATTGTATAGACTTTAATGAATTGCTAATCACTTCAGTTTAAATGGGACAAAGTCAAATGGAGCAATTCAGAATTTGTACAGAAGGAAGTATTTTTGAAGACAAGACAGAGGAAAGAAAAAAAGGAACAGAGAAAGAAAGAAACACCAGTAACAGCTTTAAAAAGAAAGTTTATTTCCAAACTGAGAGCAAATAAGAAAGGGAAGTACTGAATAAATACGTAATTATAACAAAATGCATAGTTGCTATATAAGGACAGCATTTATAGGCTTTATAAATGTGCTGTTCTGAATTTGCATCACTTGATTTTTTGCTGTGGTTTTATGGGACCATAAGCGGTTGCATTGAAGAGAAGATTATTTTTCCCCCAGACAGTGGCAACTGTTCTCTTGCCCCCCATAACATCACTACAATGAACACTGGTAGGCCTACAAACAGCCTAACTAAAAAGCACCACAGAGCCAATTTGCTTAGACAGTGCATTAGCAATCATCACAGAAGGAAGAGAGGTGAGCAGGGAAGAGCTCTGCAGGCTTCTCCTGCACCATACTCTAAGCCAAATTCATCACAAATTCTCTGAAGCTGAGAACTGCACCTTTGAGCATTACAAACTAAAGCCCTGATCCTCCAAATGGATATAACAGCATGTAACCTTATGTCCGTGTGGTGCCTGACTGATACTCCTGCAAATGTGAGAAGAGTTTTCAGGATATATATGCAAAACTTGCTTCTGTTTGGTTTTTGTGGCTCTTCTTTCAATAATAGTTGCTTTTAAATTAAGAAATAAGTATATCAGTCTGGTGCACTGAAGATTTTGCTACCAGAAATACTTATCTGGGGCAGCACACATTCACCAACAAACAAGTGCTTTTAACAAGAGTTTTCAAGCTCAAGGAAAACAGTTGTTCCCTCTTTTGTGGGTAGCAGAGGAAGACAAATAATGATGAATGGAAAAGAAATGGCTCATTTGTCTGGGTGTCAGAGGGAACTGCCACAGAAGAGGGTACACTACTCTCTTATCAGGATTTCCGAAACTCCCAAGTTCATCTGCAATCCCCCAAAATCTCTTTGATCAAATTAGAAGAGTTCTGCCGAAAACCGGATTAAACCCATTCTGCATCAGCCAGCACAGTTGTGAAACTACGATGAGTTCATCTTATAAGAAGGGTAAGTGGAGTGAAAAAGCGAAAGAGAAGGAAAGTCAAGTTGCTTATATGAAAACCAGAAACACTACAGCCACCTGTGCCAAGGCTGTTGCTGGAGAACCAGGATCAGGGACAGATCTGTGCCTATTTCTGGCTTTTCTCTTGGTTTTCAGCAGGTACCCAGGGACCAGTGCCAGTGGTGGCATTCCAGTGTTCACGGAAGACCTGGTATGTACAGGGCTAATGGGCCTCAGTAGTAGTGTGCTAACTGGGAGATGTTGTCTCCAGACCACCAAGAGTTTAAAGGTTAGTTTATCTGAGGTTGTGCTGCTAACAGCTGATGTTAGCTGGCAACCTCTTTTCTTCATTACAAGGTCCAGAGTTGAATGGGTTCTCCATCAAAGGTGGACTTTGTGTCCAAAGGCATGCCTGTAGTTGATGCTGCCAGTCCTTTTACTCTTTTTATCCTATAGTCTGCATGCAGATAGAGCATTTCTTAAGGACATATTCACCCGGGAATTATAAACAGTAAGAGCAAGAAAACAAGGTGGAGAACAGAATGGGGTATTTGACAGCACCTAGGATGCCTCCCAAAATAAAGAGCAGCTTCTGGGCCCAAAACCTGGGAATTTAAAGGAAGATTTGAAGATAAGCACCAGTCATAATACACAAGGTACATAAAAAAAAAACCACCACAGGCTTTGCCAAACAGTCACATACAATTCAGTATTTATCTGTGACTATGAGAGCACACTCTTTTTAGTGATTCCCTTTTTGCCTGTACACCTGCCTCTTAACACTTGAATCTCTGCTTATAAAGTGGCAAAATAATCTGTTTGAGAGTTGTATTCAGATCAGGAATTTCCTCCATAACATACTAAAAGTTGAAGAGACAGAATGATTGCCATGACTGAAAGAGGGTACAATTTGAATGCCCCATTCCTTTGCTGAAGTGAAGTTAAAATGATCTGAACAGAACATAAATCTGCAATTAAAAACCTCAAAAAAACATAAAAACATAAAACATAAACTAAATAGTCACTACTAGTTTCCCAGGATCAGTAGCTTGCTTTCTTTTTCTCCTTCAGGGAATGCGTAAAATCATAGAAGAGGTACTCAACCTTTTTTCATATTTGCTACTATTCATTTTATAAATCTCTTACACATTATCATGTAAGGCAAGACATTTTTCCAAGCATTTTTAGGGATGCAGATAAAAAGGTATCAGCCTAGTAAAAGTTTCAAGAAGCTCAGACACGTTCTTCCCACTAACATTATCCTTAGGAAGCTATGTACATTCAAAAACCCATCTCTTACATCTTGAATATATGATTCAAAATAAAAAATAGCTAATCCTTCCTGTCCCAGTCTTGTACTTTCAGAAAGCGCAAGACTGACAAACCTGTCTTGTACTTTATGACTTTTCAGTCATTACAACCTATATTCAAAATCTGAATTAGCTCTATACCAAAGCAAAGAGCTCAGTAGAGATGTACCTTTGGAACATTGTCTTCTCTGGGAGCTTTCTACAGTCATGGGATAGTTTCTGTTACACCAGCAGGCCTGCCAGATGTTAGGCTTCCTTTCCTATCTTGCCTCACTAACACAAGCTCAGAAGCCCCTCAGCCAAAAACTATAGAATCAAGCAGTAACATTGTGGAGAGTCTAAAACTCCCCAGAAAAATAAGTAAAATACAGCAGTCAGTCAATCTAAGGGCTGGCAAGGGACTTAAAGGAAAGATGAAAAAGTTGGGGTTTTGACAGTAACATAGAACACTTTTGTTACAGAAATAATTCTGCACAATCACTTCTGCCCTGAAATTGTAAATGTTTTGCCATTCCTTTGAGTAAAAGGCTCAAATAATCAAACCAGAACAAAAATAATCCAAATAAAATCTCTTGCTGCTTCAGAACCTGAGATGGATGGCATTTAAGGGGTTCATACTTTCAATAAAGATAAATATGCAAACTGCATAGGACAGAATGTTTGCTTGTTGATAAAAGCTTGTACGTTTATTGGGATCATTAAAGTCTGCTTTAAGTATAACCCTCAGTTGAAAACGTCTGGTATCACATTCCCAATTGGGTTAGGTGTCAGCCACTTACTGCTAATGGTGATGATCTAATTAGACTGTTAAGTTTTCCTTTGGCCAACTGAACTTTGCTAGCAGAATTAAAAACAGCATCAAAGGAATGTCAAACTGCTGGCAACTCCTAAGCTAAATTTTACAATACACATAACACAAAGAAAAACACTTGTTTCTATGTATTATTTGGAGCGTAGTTTACTATACAGGACACAGGAAATGACAGTAGCTCCTGATTTTTTTTTTTGTCTTTTGTAATAGGTCCATACGCAAGTTTTTCCATCGATGGAGCAAAAAATACTTTTTGGGGATCTAGTGTTCAAATATACATACTGCTTTGCAAAAAAAAAAATAGGAATACCTTACTATGAACAACAGACTGGAGTTTGCATTTATGCATCTGCAAAGACAAGATAATTTCTGTCTTTTTCAGGACAAAAGATGCATGCTTAATAAATATATTCTTAAAGTTCCAGACAACTGTAAATAAATATTACAGATCATTTCATTGTTTTCATTCAGTGACAAACTAAGTGTGACTGAATAGGTTTGTTATAGGGCATTTGGTCAATCCAAGGTGTGCAATCTGACTAACAGCTGTAACGGTGAAGTTGCCAGATTCCAAAACACTGTTTATCACATCCTGACTCCATGCCATCTTTTCCTGGTGGCTGATTACCATTTAAATATCTTCTTGTCCTTTGGAAGGATCCCTGACTGCACTCAGAGAAGTACACAGCATGCAGTCAAACAAGTGACTCCCGGCAGTATTTGAGGGGTTATGAGGGTTTGGAACTAGAGTAAAGTTTAGGAAGAACATCCTTCCAAGCTCAGACATTTTGTTTATCTGGATTATCAGCTCTGACCTTCTCCTGTGTGCTAAGCAGACACCACATGCTTTATCTTCTACACTGTGCCTGAGTATCTCTGGTATCGGTCAGCTGATCAGTTGCTGAGATTAATTATACCATCAGGGATTATGGCTGTTTACAACTTTAAACAGGCTTCAGGATTTACTCTTATAAAAACACACTCTTCCAGCGTCAGCCTATTCATGTGTTCTTTGGCATTAGCTCTTTAGGGCAAAGACTGTCCTATTGTTATGCACCTTATTTGTGACACAATAGGTCATCAGCCTGGAGTACCGAAAATAATTGTCTCTTTTTACTATTGGGAGAGGCACTCAACTACAGTAACAAAAAGCAAAACCAGTGGTGAAGAACTGTAGAAACATTTAAAAGGGAAGAACTGACTGCAGAGTCTAGAGAAACTTTGGTTTTATTCCTTTAAGGGAGGAGTTTGTGTAGACTTGGAATTCAAATTGAAAGAAAAATTCCGACTGGGAATGCTGGAAATGTGGGAGCCAATTTGTAAGTAGAAGCGATATACTGAGTTGCTGTATTTTATAAGATTCCTCTTCCATAAATTATTTCCTTCTAGCATGCCAAAGCATTCCTGTGGAATAGAACTTTCAAAAAGAGGAGTAAAATCTACGGGGAAAGGATAGAGTTTTCTACTGCCAAAAGCCCAGTCCTTTTTGTCGTATTACTTGTGTCCTCCTGAAATCCTTTCCTCCAATATTCCTACCTAACCTGATTTCATCCTGTCCAGTTTCCATACAGGACTTTCCAACACCATCAGGCAGCATCAGCTTACCAAAACAGCTCCTTCCACTGCGCTCTGAATGGAAGCAGGGCAGAAAGTCACAGGAGTCTCTCTGCTCTGAAAACAAGTCCATTATGAATACAGGTCTCACAGCTAAGACACATGTAGTCACCTCAGCTTCTCTTTAAACACCAAGCACCTTAAGTCAGTCTGGCTTATTTATTCAGTAAGTATGTGTTCCTTTATAGGGGTAGCTTGCACAACATGGAACACAACCTCTGACTTGGGAGTATTGCAAGGCTAACAGGTAAGATACCAGTAACATAAATAATTAAAAATACTGCAGCTTTTCCCGGCTGAATGTCTTGCAGCAAACCAACTAGTATGAAAGAAGAAGAATACTCACATTTGTACAGTGGTCAGAAAATGTCCTGGGAAAAGAGAAGAAGTAAGAACTGAAGTTATTTCTTTGCTAGAGTTAAAGCCACTGTTCCAGCCACCATTTCCAGAAACTACTAAGCAATAAAATGTAAGCAAAAAAGCCTTGAATGATCTTGTCAAATGATAAGTCTTTAATGTCTAAAAGGTAATAAGTACTAAGAAACGGATCTAGCTGACAGGCAATGAATCCTCCTTGCATAGTACATTTATCTCCATGGGATATCAAGAATTACAACACTTTAGGAAAGAAAACTGGCACCTAGGTGAGCAAGCAGCCTCAATCCTGTGCAAAAGTTACAGAAAAACCTCAATGTTTCCAGGTTTTACTTTGTAATAGATCCACATCTATCCCACAGTACCATATTCTTTCACTGCACTTTTCAATTGGTCATCTGTATGAAAAACAAAAGGCTGCAACCCACTCTGATACAGTAATTCATGATAAATTAGCTTCATATTATTTAAACTTGGCCTTTTTGAGGTCAAATACCTCAGGGTATGTAGTTACCGACTTAATGTAAAATGTGTACCTCACAATACTTAGAAAACAATTACTTGATTAACGCTTCATCCAGAAGATGTTTACTCCTTCCCTTGAGAATGTAAAAGATGAAGCTTCAGTTTCAGAAGTGCTTTTGCCACTCATCTAAAATTAGCACTGAATTTTACATGAAGCCAAAAATTTTTAATTTAACAAGTTTACTAACAAAAGACATTTTTCCATATATATAAAAAATTACTTTTTACTGCATGTGTTAGACATATCTACGATGGATTTTTTCCCTTTACAGAATGATAGGCATAGAGAGGCATTGTACTTACATCACCATTAACTAATCCCTTTTTTCTAGTAACTTGTGTCCTGATTTTCAAAAGCACTGGTTATCAGCACAACCTGGGTACTGAATGGTAGCAGCAGGCACTCAGAACTGTTGAAAATAGACTATTAGTACTTGTTCTTTTGCTGCAAATGCACCATTTGAAAAGTAAACTTACCTCTTGAAAACAGGTATGTTTACTTTTTAAGTCAAAATCGGTTGCCTAATTACTAATTACTTTAATCATTCTTGTAGTGCTTTAGAATGTTTAAAGCAACTATTAACAATAATTACTTAATACACTATAGTGGATTACGACCAAAATTAATACATCAGAAATTAAGTTTATGATTAATAAGCTTTGAAAAATTTATACATGGCCATAAATAAATAATTTGAACTTCAGTCTCATTAAAAAGTAAACCAGTATGTCACACAACAATATCATCCTATCTAGACAATACAATCTTGCTATATTTTATTGCATAATAATTTGAGAGTAACATCTTAAGTAAAATATGTAAAGAAACAAAAATCATTAGATTTACTTCCTTTAATATTGAACAACCAAAGCGTCACCTTTGTACATAATCCAATTTAAAGATAATATAATTAGCACTTCCAGCATTAACAGTCTGTATTTACAATGAATAAGACAGGGTAGATAATCCAAAGAGTATTCAAATCCGTATGAAACAAATCAAACTATGAAGATTTACAGTTGGCTCAAATCCAAGACTTTTCCATTTATGGAATGCAATTTAAAAGGCTCTGTCATCTTTATTACTTGTAAGGGTTCCTGAAAGGATGACTTTTTTCAATAGTATTTTAAATATTTGAGTTCTTCAGTAATGCCTGCATTATTCGCACATGACATTAAAAATTAATTCCAATACTTATATTCAATTTTTCATTTGCTTGTAGATCAGTCTGAAATCTGATGAAAGTCTAACAAGGAAATTTACTATATAATCCTAATTACACATTCCTGAAAACACAACAGTTGGAAGCAGGTGATGTCAGTCCATTCCAAGGGTTACGTACACAAAACTTACAAAATGTTCTTCACTCTTGCATAAAATGTGTACAGTTTCAGTGAGTGCGGAACTTCAAAGTTTTTATGGGCTGCTGCTGGCATGGACCTTTGATTGAAAATAAAATACCTTTCACTCTATTGTTCTGGTAGCAGTTTTAGAAGTTAATCATCAATCCCTGGTGTTTCACCCTGTTGTATTCTGGAGGCTATTCTAATGGCTTCTTCCAGAGACTGTTGTTCTCCAAGCTGAAACAAAGGCATTTAAACATAAATAAATCCAAAATGTTACATATGGATAATAAATGTGAAAAAAAACACCAAAACCACAAAAAAAACCAACACAAAACCAAACCCCAACAAACAAAGATGAAGGCAAAGGTCTGGATATGGATCAATTCTTTCACACAAGTAAGTGTGATCAGGAGTCACACCTCTTCTAGGTAATATATACTAGCAGCTATCTAATCGACATGGCAATTAAGCTAGCTTCTGACAGCAGATTAAACTGAGTTTATTATGTATTTACTAAATTAATTTTCTTCAAAGAACTGCTGCATGGTAAACATTTCATGACACACAAAACACATGATATTTCAACTTGGCAGATACAACAAAGCTAAGATAAAGCTTTCAAAAGTCATGGTGGCTGTTGAATTACATTTTAACATCAGTAAACAACACTAGCAAACAATCTTCATTTTTCTTAACTCTCGCAGAAGGTCAGCTCTTTGGAACACCATATGATAAGATATTTAAAAAGTTTAACTTTACTGCAGAATCCTGACTAGGTAAGAAAAGCAGTCATGATGACACTGATTCTGTGGTAGTTTAGGAAGGAAGTTATCTTGTAGTAAAAGTACAAGGCCAGTAACGTATCTGACATGGTCAGAGGCAATTTCAACTAACACTGAATAAAGACAGTTTTGGGAAGAAAATGTACACCATGCACATATGTCCAGTGATGGGAATACTGAAGACAACCTCAACCTATTAAAAACCTGTTGGCTCAGGATAAAGCTGCATGAGAGTGTGAAAAGGAAAACCACATTATTTGCCAGATGGACCTAATGGGACAGTTCTAAATACTGCTTGTCATTTAGTCACTAGCTCTCACATTCTGGAGCTACTCAAAGCAAAAGCAGTTCTATTATCACCTCCTTAGGACTTCAATTTGGCTATCAGGCTCCTGGCTTTGTCGGTATTTAGAAACTGAATGGATTCATTTGGAAAATCAGGTGCTTACTATTCTTCTTCCTAACCCTATATTTTATTTAAAATATGAGAACATATGGTTATGGGGTATTTTTTTGTAGGGGAGCCAAGCTTATTAGAATAGTTTTGTTGCATGACTAAGAGCTTCTAGTTCTAGAAGTAAGAAACACTTCAAAAAACATTTATCACCATCTTACCTGTACTGCAATTTGTGTTCCATTTGATGTAGCCAACAATGTGACAGGTCTGGTTTCTGTAGTCACTAAATGGTGCCCATGTTGCTGATGTCCCATGTCTGATGGGGCGCTATGAAATGCTGCTAAGTCTTGAGCCACAATAGCAACCTTCAATACCAAAGGAAGAGAATCAACTGGATGACAGATCTGTTACAATGGTTATCTTCAAAGTTAAATTCAAAGCTGTGATCATGCATGAGCATAATTTATTGTGTAAAAGATAATATGTTTTAAGAAAGGTTGCCATCATTGTGTTCTCAAAGTTACCTGTTAGCTCTCAAAATACGAATTTTGTGAGAATTGCACAGAAATTCAGTAAATGTGTCTATAAGCCTGTGGTTATTTATACACAGAGAGCGTAGTGATAATAAGTATAGTCATTTTCATCTGGTGCATTTTTCAAATAGTGGAATCCATTATTAAGTTAAAGTTTTAAAATGATTCACTATATTTCTACTTTAAAAGCTAGGTATTGTACTTGTGTATTAAGAACAAACCCACAAATACATACTTACACAAATGCTTCTTATCTGCCAAATTAACTACAGTCCCATAATACTGATAATGTTACAGTTCATACTGGATTCTGTTCTTAGTTCTGCCACTCATTGACTATGTGACTTTGGGGAAAACACTTAACATTTCCAGGTCTTATTTTACATGCATGCACCTAAATGAAATGCCAGACTGGTACCTTATTTTTTTTCTTGGTGGCCAATTTTTTTTAGAACATTCTTTTGATGTATAGCAGTGGAATAAAACATATCCTATGTATGAGTGTGAATATGAATAATCATTCCCTTTATGTGAAAGGAATGCTATGGCCAGGTGTTGAAAACTGCTTTATTTAGGTAAATCCATGTGAATGACAGAACTGTGATGGCTTAGATAGAATCATAGAACAGTTAGGGTTGGAAAGGACCTTAAGGTCATCAAGTTCCAAGTGCGCTGCCATGGGCAGAGTCACCATACACTAAACCATGTTACCCAAGACTCCATTCAGACTGGCCTTGAACACTGCTGGGGATGGAAGCATTCACAGCTTCCTTGGGCAACCCATTCCAGCGCCTCACCACTCTCACAGTAAAGAACTTCTTCCTTATATCTCACCTAAACTTCCCCTGTTTAAGTTTGAACCCGTTACCCCTTGTCCTATCACTACAGTCCCTAATGAAGAGTACCTCCCCAGCATCCCTATAGGCCCCCTTCAGATACTGGAAGGCTGCTACGAGGTCTCCATGCAGCCTTCTCTTCTCCAGGCTGAACAGCCCCAACTTTCTCAGCCTGCCTTCATATGGGAGGTGCTGCAGTCCTGATCATCCTTGTGGCCCTTCTCTGGACTTGTTCCAACAGATCCGTGTCCTTTTCATGTTGAGGACACCAGAACTGCACACAATACTCCAAGTGAGGTCTCACGAGAGCAGAGTAGAGGGGCAGGATCACCTACTTCGACCTGCTGGTCACGCTTCTTTTGATGCAGCCCAGGATACAGTTGTTTTTTTGGGTTGCAAGCGCACACTGAATCTGGCTCATATTCAGTTTCTCATCAGCCAACATCCCCAAGTCCTTCTCTGCACAGCAAAGATGCCTATTTTAGATCTTCCTATAAAGGAAAATTACACATCTACACAGGATTATATCTTACCTGCTGTCCTTCAGTGCCTTCAGCAGTAACCATTGCTACAGAATGTGTTCCTGCAGAAGAGATGACGGCATCATGGGCAGGTACTGTGATGGTGGTGCCATCTTGTGTTACCATAGTGATAGTATTGCCAATGGCCTGCATATCTGCCTGGGTTATGTTGACCTGAAACACAGAATAGTTCCTCAACTAAAAGAAGAAGGTTTAATTGCTGTTCAAGGCATACCTAGTCTTAGTTTTTGGCAACATAATGTATATTTTTAAGTAAGGTTTAAAAAAAAAACAAAACAAAACAAAACTTGATGATAAGCATTTGAAGAGTAACAGCATATATCAAACAAATTCCTGCTAGTTGGTTCAGCAGGAATATTCCTGGCTAACTTAATTTCTTCATTTGAAACAAAATGTGTAGCAATCCAGAACAAAAAGCCTACTAATAATAGGGGCAAAGTCTTTTAAGCTGGTCATAATTAATATACTGGCCAAAAGATACAGTAGCATTATTCCACATCCTGACCAGCATGCTCATGCATTCCTCGAGAACCACCGTCACTCTTTGGCCAATTCCCAGTCTTAGACAAAGAGGCATCATCACATTCATCTTACTGATCAGGACCTAACATTCCATGACCTTTCAGACACGATTATCTGTTTACAGAAATAAAAATGTGGCTCTCAGTAACAAGAAAAAGAATGCATACTTGTGCCCAGAGACTGCAACTCCATGTTATTCAGATCATACCCCAAATAAATGTGTGATACGTTATCTATGCGTCTCACACAATGGACAATATCATTCAACGCAGTAACACTTGACACATGTGATCTCAACAGAAACGCTAAAGGCCCTCCTAGGGCTTAGAATTTAAGCCACAAATAAACAACAGAAAATTAACAATATAAATTACTAATGTCTCCAGTATAAACACATTAGGGCATCAGATAAATGACTTCATGTCTAATTTACAAGGTAATAAAACATCTGAGAACTATAAGTCAAACTGAAGGATAACTTAAATAAATGCAAGAACTCTGTGTCAAGACTTCTGGCCTTCATTTTAGAGGGTAAAAATGCCAGTTACTTAGTGCTGCTGCAATGTTCAAGGCTGGTAATATTTAATTTTCAGTTTGAATTTAGGAGATATCTTACATATGCTACTGGCATTTTAGCTACGTTTCCAGCTAAGATATAAACTTTTTCCCATATGCCTTCAATATATTATCATAGCTAAACAAATGAGTTGTGCTGAAATCCCCTCTTAATAAAATTTCATTAAAAACCTTAAAAAAAAACATATCCTTGGGAATCCTTAAAAAAAATATATCCATACGAATTTTCAAGTGGGGGTAGTTCAAAGCATTCCTTAATCTCGTTTATGTTAAAAATGGTAAGAACTGCACAATACCAAACAGCTTGTAAAGCAGGCAGCTGGACTAAAAACATTTCCCAGCCCTCCATCCCAACAAAGTACATGCAGACAAAACAACAGTGAAGATGACTGTCAGATATTAATATATTGTATTGATTAAGGAATTCTGAGAAACCTCAGAAACTAGGCTGTAACAATTGTTATGCCTGCTTTAATAGTGACAAAGATAAAAGGATAACAAAAAAAAAAAAAAATCAAGCTCTGTATTAATGCAGTTTCGGATATCAGAATATGGGGTTTAATTTAGGTATTCCACAGGAGGCTCAACCCTAAACATATCTTAACTCAGCTCCAGAAAAGCTTCTGTTCTAAAGAAACCCACATACGTATTGACCAAGAATCCCAACTGATCTTAGAAAGCACATGAGTATCTGCAACACCTGCCTCAATTCTCAATGTATTTTTGTCAGCTCTTCAACACTGTTTACTTACATGTTGCGTTCCATCCTGGGATATTAGTGCTACTTGCTGACCTAATCCTGACTGAGTAACTGTAGCAACCTGTGCAGAAATTACATCTTCTCCATCTACACCTGTCACATAGGTTATTTGGGAACCTTTGAGAACATCTTCACCTTGACCTATTTGATACAAAGAAGGCAAAAGGGTAGTTTACATACTCCAGATGCTACCAGGAAAGCAAATGACAAGGGTTAAATGCCAGCCTGGTCTGAAGGTCTTAAACACTCCAACAGAAAAATTAATAGTGGAAAGAGGAGAAAAATAAAAGCAAGTCAGAAAGTCTGTTTTAGGAACACGGGGTATAATTTTTTAGCAGTGAGTTTTAATACACAAATACTATATATAAAGAAAATATACACTGAGTTTATTAGCAAATATTGAAATGGTGACAAGCATTTCTAATTAATTAATTATATGCTAACCTCTCCATACAAGATGTTCCATGCAAACACAACTGGCAGTTTTTAAAGAGTTATTAATTAACAAACATACAGAAGAACACAGGGATGCCTTTGTGTGACTTAAATTCAGTATCTTAATGAATGTTTAACCTCAGCAAATGAATCTTATAATTCCCTTAAAAGGAATTGGATTCCAGCAGATCTGCTTGAGGCATTCAGTGCAGTTTCCCACATACATGTAGGAAAACAACTTATTTGACCAAAACAGTTTGTACACTTATTTCCAATCTTCAGTCACATGTAAAAATCACATTTGACAAATGGTATTTGTCTTATTACAGTACTTGCTTCAGTCTGATCTTTAATAGCCATAGGATTCAGTACTCATGATACCATGAGTACTACAGCAAATGAACTTATTTTCATCTTTGCTCCTAGGACAGTTTACATAAACTGCTATTAACCACAGCAAAACCAGCACAGTATCAGAATAGTGCAGCGCCTTTGCACCTGCACAAAAGACCGTCACCAAGCATGGTGTTCTAGATACACTCTTAGAAAAATACCCAAGAAAAATTCAGTAGCTTGCAAGCAGAAGCATTTTAGATACTCCCAGGTCACTCCCCACATTCATTTTTATAGCAGTTTTGCTCGGACTGCATATCAAATTTCTCTTATCTCCAGAACTGCTGTGAATGAGTTTATGATCTGGTCAATTACTCTCTCAGTTTCTGTCTACAAGTTGCCCACCAGACTAACAAGTCCTACAAAGAAGTTAAATAACTTTATTAAGTGCTTCAGATTTTTATCTACGCCTTCATTTCCTTCGTTATAAAAAACCCCAGCAAAATATTATCCAGCCCTTTTTTTTTTACAACACAAGATTACACAACTAAAACTCTAACCTGGAGGTGGCTCAAAAAAAGCCTCTTGTTCTTCTTCAATGGGTTCTGTGTCATTGTGCGCTGTCCGCTTATGCATAGCAAGTGTAGAAATCTGCTTGTATGTTTTCCCACAGTGATTACAGTTATATGGTTTGGAATGAGTATGTACAACATGATGCTTGTATAAACTAGAGTACTCTGTAAAACGTTTGTCACAACCAGGAACTGTACAGACATAGGGCTTCTCCCCTGTATAGAAAACAAAAGGGATAAAGAGAACTTTATTCAGGATGCACAGAAAAAATAGTCAACAAGTGATATTTGGTGACACAACTTCATTACCAACCATATGTCAATTTCAAAGCCAACAGTGAAGATCAAGCTCACAGAGTTTATCAATGCAGCTTCTCACTGTCCTTTGTGTAGAACAACTGCCACTAAAACTTGGCCCCTTTTCTCTCCATTCCATCTAAAACATCCTTCTGATGAAGACAGAAGGATACAGGCTGAAAGCTGCAATGTCGGTTTAGCGTCGTATTGAGAATTTTTGGTCTATTACTACTGGAAGCCCCACACTTCTCCTGAGTAATCAGGTATGTTGATACCCTAGCACAATTTCTCTTACTTTTGAGTCTTTAAGCTCTGAAGAAAGCTTATGGGAAGCATATGTTTAAACAATTATGGTTTCATATAAAACCAGCTTTCATTTAAAAGTCAATGAAACACATGTCCAAATTGTGAACTAAAAAGATTATCTGAGATACAAAACATACCTCTATGAAACCTGTCTGTACTTCCATAAAATACCTAAGGCTACAAGATTATACAGCTATCACTGGCTTTTACATTTTAAAACCTTTGAATCTGTGCTGATTATTTCTGCTAACCAATCAAGTTGGATATGTATTTTCACCTCTACTCTATAGAAAGGTTTTGACCACTGCTCCAGCAGCAAGGAAAATACAGCTGGGATGAAACAATGACTCACAATGATGAGCCCAAGTCATATTCAGACTTGTATTTTACTGTTATTTACTTAAGAAGCAGCTCACAATGGAGGCAAACCCTAGAACCATATAAGGATGTAGGCCAATGTCCACTGAAGATGAGGTTTTGCATTCATTTTAAAGAACTATGTATCCAAAACAAAATCATTCTGCCTTGACAGCAAGGCAGGAAACCTAACTGCTTAACTGTCCTCAGCTCAGGTTAGACAAGCCCAAATAAAAGTGCCAAGCCAGGTCACATAAACATGACCAAACCCAATTACAACGTACCAAAAAATTGTTCACAAGGAGAATGACAAAGCCTTTCCCAAGCAGATTCCACTTCAAAATACAAAACATCACTCATATACCTGTGTGTATTCTCACATGATTCTTATAATTAGTTGCACTGGCAAAAGCTCTCCCACATCCTGGCTCTGTACAGTAATAAGGCCTTTCGCCCGTATGTGTCCTGATGTGAACCTTTCTAATATTAGATGTTGTGAATGACCTGCCACATCCTTCAAATGGACACTTAAAGGGCCTTTCACCTGAAAAATAAAGAAAAAATGGCACACATGCAAAAATTACAAAAGAACAAAAATCTTAAATTATATTCAAGACTGAATGTAGGAATCTAAAGCTACCTAATTCTCTCTTTGAGACCCAGTCAGAAACATGAACATGCCACTGTGGAGTGTTATACCGTTTAGCCAAAATTGTCAAAATTCAGGAAAATCATATTATCTGTAAACTAAATTATGAAGTATTTAGACTAATACTTTGTGATATATAAAACAGACTCAATTGCTTGGATTAGCTTCCACACTGTCCATATTCTAACATGTATTGAACACCACCCTCCCATTCATTCATACATACATACATTACCCAAAATAAGTATATCATAACATTTTTACATTTGTCAATTGTCATTCATAAAAAAAAAAAAGAAAAAAAACACCCACAAAAACTCCTTCATGATTTAATGATACATGAATCATAAATCCTTTATGATTAAAAGATACAAGTGGATTAGTAAAACTCATTATAGAGAACACTCTTTAAGGACAGATAGCCCTGAAAATCATTTCAACCCCCAAAAGCAATCACAAATACAGGTTATTTTAAAATAACTATTAATGCAATGTAAATCTAAGCAGAAAAATTTAACATCATTGCACCAAAACATTTCAGTAGATAAGGCCAACCCCTGTCTAATATCCCAATACCCCTGACGTTTCAGGCCTATTAAAGCACACAGAGCAGGAGAGTGAAGGGGGTTAACTGTGCTGTCCTGTTGTAATTTAACACTTCCTACAGCTATGTAGGTTCCACCCACTGTACTGCTTACCAAAAGGAAGAATCTGAGAACCAAAGACAGATTACCAGTACAGACATAACATTAAGTACTTAGAGACAGAGATAAAAAACAAAGTCCTGATAGAGACATTGATACCATGAAACTCTGAAGTAGTTAGCTCCTTGGCAGAGGAAACTATTCATTCCTTAGGGCAGCAGCTGCTTCAGCATATTTTTTAGCTTTCTGCCAAGAAAGTGTGTGTGTGTGCATTAAGCATACACACCTCAGTGTTGTGTTACCATAGCTCCCCTAATCCTTGCTTCAGCACAGGATCTCAAATCAAGCCTGAAAAGAGCAGGGCTGCAGTCAACCCTGCCAACAACAGACCCTGCCTTAGAAACTAGACCAGAAGATTCTTAAAGAATGCCCACAAGAATGTCATCCAACCGGTTGGTGAAGTTTCTAATGCACTTGTTAGAAAAGAAACCTGTTTCCAGGTAACAGAGATTTCTAGCACTAGAAATGCAAAGCAAGTCAGAAGCTTTCAAGCTCTACCCCACAGCAGCTGCGAGGAATCATCTACTGCAGCTTTTCTGATACTAGAATAGTATGTCTAGGGAAGTCATAGAGGACCCTGGGCAAGCATTTGACAGCAAGAGGAAGCAAGACTGGACTACCACTGAAAAAGAGGGAAAGAACACTGGCTAAAACAGGCAGAAAATGAAGGAAGTGCTACCCTTCCCTACACGATAAAGGAATGCAAAGTTTTGGGAGCCCTGTGAGAGTGAGCAGAGCCCAGACTTGCCTCCATCAGGTGCACTGTTGGAGCTTGCATAGAGGTGTATGCTCATACACCTCTCCATCCATCTGCTCTAAGGACTTGGTGCAGTTTTCTCTTTTTTTTTTTGTTTCCTGAAACTACCCATGCATCTAAAAAATGACTCCCCTGAACTCCAGTCCCTGGACTGCTGGGAGCTTATAACTGTATTATTAATATTGTTTAAATTTGTAAATGGTTACACATGGCTGGATCAAGTCCTTTGCCTCCACTGCTAGATTACATGAAAGTGATTAAATTATTATCCAACTTCTGTGGCCATAAAGAAGTAAAGAAAACATTCTACAGCTAATCAAGTTGTGCATACCATGGAAGTCTTCTAGTTCATGGTCTGTACTTGATGTACTACATAATGTCAAACAGTTCTAGAACTGAAAACAGATAACAGTTTGTCTTCATTCTGATGACCAATTTAACATCAAAACAGCACTAATCTCAACAGACTGTCCTTGAATACAGAGGTCCAGCAGAATTTTTATTGCCTGCTTTTATCCTCGCCTAATTTGTTCTTTTTAATATGAGGAAAAAATATTTCTTTTTCTCTTTTTTCCTCTCCAAGATTCAGAAAGTTTAGTGGAAAAAAACGTTGGTGTTCTAGCAGGCTGGTAAATAAATGTAATAGAATAAGTGACAGATTATTCTTCCTACATAGGAGGTTTGGTGTTTGTTTTTTAATTGGAAACGTCAGGAACGGAAGAGACATTGTGGAAATTTGTTCACATATGTGTGCACCCATAGGGTTGGCCTTTGTCATGTATGCTGTCTAGAATTTACTGGTGTTTTGGCTTTCAAATTAATCTTTTTGAGACAAAACATCAGATGTTATATTTTATGGATGTGGATGTTTTGATAACAGCTGTTTTTCTGTGATGTTTTTGTTCATTCTTCTGCTGCAAGAAGGGAGGTCAGGGTAACAACAAACTCAGAACTGAAGACCTTCATGAAGCTGGCATGCAAGTTATTTTAAAGCACCAAAACTTAAGACCACTGCCATTTCTAAGAGGCAAGCCATATTATTGACGAAAAGCTCCATGTTCTGTTACAGTTGCAAATGAAACTGTAAAGGCATCAAGTAACTCAGTGACAATATAAGTGATACACTGACAGAAGTTAGTGCATTTGCAATAGCAGTGTGAATGCTTAAGCACTTTTTCCAAGATAAGCATGCTGGATTTGCAGTAAATGCTTACCATGCTGAAATGCTGTTTTGCTCACCAGGCTTCAGAAAGAGAATATACACAGGCTGATTTCATAAGTACAAAGTCACAGAATGAGCAAAGAAAAAAGTCCACTTAAGTAAAAAAAAAAGAAAGAAAAAAAAAAAAGGAAAAAAAAAAAAGGAGGGGTGACAATAGTACCTGTGTGGGTTCGGATATGTTTCTGCAGGTCTCCTGAAGTCTTGAATGACTTGGTGCAATTTTCTTCTGTGCACCGATAAGGCTTTTCACCAGTGTGTGTTCGGACATGACTTTTTAACCCATACCCTGAATATTAGAAAGGATGTTATAATTGTATAATCACAAAATTAGCATATCATAAACCATCGCCAGCAAAAGCTATGCTTGCCATTCCAATCAGGAAGCTCCCCGGTGAGTAAAATTTGCTCTTTCACTCTTGACAAGCTCTTCATTCTACCATACAGAGCAGCAGAAATCAAGATACAGTTTAGAAATTCTTTCATCCTTCATTTATGAAGAAATTACACTTCCATAATGCTTCTTCCCTTCAAAAGGATAAACTGTAATGATTATAATGTAGACAAATATGTATTTTGTCTTCTGAGGAAGCTGTATAATCTGTATTCCACATACTTTTTAATCTCTTACCAGTAATGTCATTAAAATGACAACTAATTATGTGCTTATACAAAAATCAGTACCATTAATGAAGTCATCACAAAAAGCACTACTGTTATCCAGGCTTTAATTATGTTAAACCATATTATTAACATCATCACGTATAGCTGCCAATTGACAGTAGTCACAGACACCCATTCCCTTTAAGATTACTTTTAGGAACTCATTGTCATCAAGAACTCTACCAGTCTAAAGCAAGCTTTGGATCAGGCCCTCGGTAAATTAATCCACAAAGACCATTTTACCAGGATTTTTCCTTCTGTACTTCCCTGAAAACATCATGACTAAAAAGCCCTGAAACAGTCATTTTAGAAATGTTCAATCTGTTGCATTGGAAAAGAATATTTCATTATGCAGTTTTGAAATCTCTTTACACACATAATGCAGTTAAATTTGGGTGCAACTGTTTAAGGATGGTTGTTTCCCTTTTGAACTTTCTCATCAGCCTTTCTTTTGCTTTTTTATATTCAAAGAAACAGTACTTCATGTATTAGCTGATTTTGTTGTTCTGTTTTGTAGGGTTTTTTTGTGGTTTTTTTTTTTTTTGTTGTTGATTTTTTTTTTAAAAAGACCTTAACTTTTCCAAGCATCATACTAGTTTGCATTCAAAGTAAAAGAATAAAATTTGAAGCAAGATTTGCTCTTTCACTTTCTTCCATATTTCATTCTTCATAACTGCATTTTGCGTAACAGAATTCAATCTCAGGAAGAGCATCATATATAAGCAGAGTAGCCTGCACGAAATGTACAGCTCACATCATGAGAAACATCGCTGATACAAATTCAATAAAGATCACTTAAAGCAGCTTCTTCCATCAAAGTTCCTGTTAAATGTGGAACAGATCAGGTACTTACCTCATACTAACAGGTTCAGCTTCTTATTATCACCTCAATTTATACTATTAGTTAAGAAATGACTATTTAAAAAAAATAAGAATCTGACTATAGCATTACAAGTGAACAGTAAGGGAAAATGCCAGATGTTTCATGTCCTTCCTCCTTCAATAAGTAAGAGTTAAATCCCCTGTACTTTCTACACTAGCTGAAATTATGACCTTTTTTTTTTTTTACTGCAGTTCTCCGAACCAGATTTTTAGCAGTTTAAAAAAGGCAGTATTAAAAACTTACTTTAAACAAGCACTAGCAAGCAGGAGGAGCTACTCTATAAAAGATTACCTGTTGCAAAGGCTTTGCCACATCCAGGATGTTCACACTGATATGGCCTGTCTCCTGTGTGTGATCTTTCATGCACCTGTCAAGACATCCAATATACTTACTTAATGAAGTGTTGTATTTGATTATTTCAACACAAAAACAGTTCATTCTCAAATACAATGTGCTTTATTTCTCTTTGTATGATTCACATTCAAGTGTCTTCTTTTTAAATCAGTGAGGATTAAAAAAAAAGTGACTGTTTTCCCTAAAACTAAGTATGTTTTACATTTCTGTAAATACACACAGAGTTGCCATCATAAAAGTACATTGAAGACAGTATGCAAACATGCCTCAGAGCCCACTGTCTGATTTTTTTCTACTCCACTGAGCACTTCTAATGATCCTCTTACATTTCATGAAGCCTCTACAGCAAGGACACAATTTCAGCTCAGGATCCACAGAGTCAACTACTCACTGTCTCCAGTGTTTTGTCAGAGACAAGGCAGCACTGCAAGGAGTTTACTTCATTGGCAAGTGATCACCTCAGCCTAAGCTGGAATGTGAACAGCTCTACACCTTTACTGTTTCAATAATTCCATTACTGAATTTAAAAAAGGAAGTTTCCACCTGTAAAGAAAAGATGTTCCAGCTTTTCACTTTGAATGTTGGATGGTTTTGAAGAGTTAAACTTTGTATCATGATGGCAAAAATCTTCCCAAAACATCAGAATTTTTGCATGATTGTGCAAATACTGAAAGGAGATAGGGCGAACAGTGGATTTCAGAATTTCTGGGACACTGCTTTTAGAAATTATCTCAACAAGACATTTCTTACGTGCTGGCAGTACAGGAGCCTAACATGATCCTACACCTGCAACTGTCCAAAACACTGAGCAAAATCAGCAAGGCACCTGGGGCAACCAATTATTGGATATCAAAAAATCAATCCAATGAACATTTGATAAAACCAGCACAATTATGACTACCTCTCTGTTAATTTCTATTACTTTTAACCACATAATCATGCCTGCAAAGTAACAACACTCATTTTACATCTCATCACCTTAAGATGGTGAGCTGTTGTGTATAGTTTGCCACAGCCATCATAGTCACAGCGAAAGGCTTTCTCTCCACTTGGCTGAGATTTTGTATTCACTCGTGTTCCATGTCCTTGCAAGACAATCTTAAGTTTAAAACAAAACAAAATACAAGAGATCAGAAGAGTCACACATTTCATTTTGTTATCAAGCCACAGCTGATTCTGACAGGTTTTCTTTTCTCTCTCTCTCTGCTATACCATGTATTTCTTAGTCCTCAATAAATAAATGAAAAGCATAACTTCTGATGAAAAGAAGCTGTAAAATATACTTACTTGTAGCTAGCAAATTTAAATGCATGCATTAATTAGCAAAATAATAACAAAGATGAAGTAATTTGAAATATAAGCCCAGTGGCAAGATGACCAAATTAATAGACAGAAGAAGCTTAAGTTACATTGGATACAGGATCCCTTCCTAAGGGAGATTAACCATAAATCAGACCACCTTCAAAGGTAAGTTCATGCAAAGGCCAAACAATAATTAAATGCACTTATAATAAACACTTTTTGAAAAAGAAGGAAAGTATTTTGCTGTTTTTCAGTGATGCATGTGTTTTGATCAAACTAACTGGAGCAATTTGAGCTAGGTTCTACTCTTCTTTCTGGCATGACACAACAGGAAAACATACAGAATAGTTTTGCAGTGCAAACCCCTTTTAAAGGCTTCTTCACGCAGACTGAAGAAAGAGGCAGAAACCCAAATGTAAACATTTTAATACAACTTTACACAAATTAATCCAGACTTTTTTAAAACATCTGTCCTTTTAAACCTCCCCTTTTCTTATGGAGAAGTGTGTTCAGAGTATTTGTAAGGATGGAAACTCCTGAAAGCTGCCCCCAGCCTTCATACTCTCAACTAATTCTTCTTATTAAGTATGAGGTCCAGCACTGTCTCACCTTGCCAATGCTCAATAACCTGCTTTAGGTTACCAGTTGCCATCCCTGAATCCCAGAAAGCTCCTTGATTTTACGTGCCCTGTTATGATGCTCTTCCAGCAGATACTGAGTTGGTTAAAATCCCCCATGAAAACCTGGGCCTGTGAACATGAGGCTTCTTACAGTTCTCTGAAGAAAGCCTCATCATCTTTCTGATCAGGCACTCTGCAGCAGGCAGCACCATAATGCCACGCACACTGCTCTGCCAGCTAATCCTGACCCATCAGCTCTTGACTGGCTTATCACTTATCCCAAACCAGAGACCTATGCAGTCCTGCTGTTCTCGTATGAAGAACATCTCCCCCTCCTCTCTTCAGTTCAGTTATCCTAACTATCCCACCACATGTCCCTCATCCTAACAAAAGTGTAGCCCTGCAATTGCAGATACACTTCTGATTCCTCATTCAGACAGACCAGGTATTTGATTGAGAACAACTTCCTATGGATTCTTCAGGGAGGATGTGCACTGTTACCTTCAGACTGTTCTTAAAACTGAAGATGCAAAGTCAAATGTGAAAATTTTAACCAACTGAAATGTACAACTCTACCACTTCAGAAAAGCTTCTCTGGAAAAATGGAGACAAACAACCTCATGACTCAAAAACTCCATTACTAATACTACTGTTTAACTTATGATATCATGAATCGTAAAAGTCACTTTAATACATTAAAGACTGTGAAGAGGAGGCTTGGTGGAGAACCTGCACTTGAGCACTGATTTGTTTTTTCTATCAGTAAACCTGCTAGTATTTGTTGTTTCATCATATAAAATATGCATATAGTTACTAAGATCTGATATAAAGCTGATGTATGCCAAAGATTAAAAGAAAATTACAACAGTTCTATAATCAATGTGCTAATATCTGTAAGAAAATAACCAGACATAATTTTAGGATTGATACAAAGAGGAGGGACAAATAAAAGAAATGGAACTCTTAGGAAAAGATTAACTGAACACTATGAGCATTTGTGTGTTAAAAAACTTTGCGTTTCTTCACAATACATTAGCTGGTATGATTTGAAGATTCATAAGAAATCAGTCAGCATTATCATTCAGCAAGGACAGATACAGCATCAAAATTACTATTCTTAGAAGACAGTATACGCTAAAGAAACAAAAAAATCAGAAGTTAGAAGGCACAAAGTCAGAAGAATGTAGCAAATAAAGCACCTTTGTAATAATGTGAAACATTGTGAGGAGCTGTGTACTTCAAAATAAATATAGCTAGACAAAATTTACCCCCCCTCCCCCTCCACTTTTAAAAGAAATTACAAATGCATCCTGAATTCAGACAGGTAATAGGAGAATAACAAAGGTAAAGATCTCAGGTACGACTTTTATATTGTATACACACAAACTTCAGTCACATAATTCTGCTTTTATTATGAACAGATGGGTATGGCAGGTTGGAAAGGTAATAGCGTGTGATATCCATTTGGGCATACAGTCTTTGTTTTCACATGTAGAAATCACAAAGAGGTTTTATGCTTTTTTCCTTTGGTGGAAAAAAATCTAACCACATGCAAGTCTGAACGACTACTTAAAAGTATGACATCTGTTCTGTTCTTGTGTTACCTGTGGACTTAAAACTTTATAAATATACACTTATTTAATACCATATCTAAATGTAAGACTGTTTTATCCAAAGTAATATATTCTTTCAGAATGAGTTACAACTAGGTACCTACTTAAATCAAGACATAAACATGATTAATATTTCCCTACATAACTGATAGTTTTGGGACCCTTCAGTTGGTCAGAATTTGAGACAGCCTCAATGCCTTTTGAAATACTAGACCTTGTTTTGTTTGGAACATATTATGCTTCATAAGATTGGCACATTTCCATGTGGCATCTATGTTGCCATACATGAATAAGATAAAGCCACCTCCAGATTAACTATGATTTGGGGCTAAGCCTGAAACCAACATGTAACTTGATAACAGTTACAGATAATTTAGCTTAATTGACTCTTACTTCCAGGTAAAATAAATCAAGATCTTATCTTACTCATCCTTGAAATTTGCATTTTGTTGGAGTTGTATCCCTATTCCAACACACAAGTGTGCAAAACCTCTAAACTTCTTGATTTCAGGAATATATTTCAATACCATAAATAACACATATTAACTATTCTCTCCTTTCACTGTCATGGCACACAGGCAACAGTAGGGTGTCTGTATCTTTAAATACTATGGGACCTAGCTTTAAAATAAAAATTAAGAATAGACACTTCTGAGGTAACTGTCAGAAGTAAGCATATAATTCTTCCTTTCACAGATACTGTATTTTACCTTGGAAGATATTTTTCCTCTTTGTCTAGTTCATTATCTCTTAAATCAGACAAAAAGGGAAAAAAATGAAATTACTTTTCCCTTTCTGATTGTAATTTAAGCATGTCAGGGAATAGAGTTTTATTATTATTTTGTTATTGGTCATAATTCTTTGAAGCCCAGAATATGTTTTTCCTTGTCATTTCCTTTAATAAAATATGTTATGATAACAAATACAATTCTCCTTACATAATTTTATAAAACAGAGATAAATGAAATAAAATCTTAAGAAGTTGCACCTGCATTTTCCATTGCCCTTTAAACTTTTAAGGTAATGTTTCTACATTAAAAAGGTTTTTTATACTTCTACGTATTAACAACATGAACACAAAGAAATGGAAGTATTTTTCTGCTGCTTTAAGCATTCACTAGGAGCAACATTCTTACCTACTGATAACTTACAAAATCTGCAATAAAAGTCAGGGGCTTTAACTGGGCACATGGAATAAAAAAAACATCACAAAAGAGAGAACAGCTCCAGACATGTGCCTTGAATTGTCTCTCTTGAGAAGAAAATACTTTATTAATTGAGTCAGCTTTGTTCTGCTTTAAAGAGTATAAAGAGTCAGTTCATTCTCTGGAAAAGAACTTCTGAAATGCTTACACTGATAAAATATTCAGGTCAGGTTGAAAAATAAGTCCAACATGACTTTTAATTACCTTTTAACAGAAACCCCCAGAAAACAGTAATCATTATAAGATCTTTTTAAAATCCTGTGAAAGGATCTTGTACAAAGTGAGACATATGACCTATCTGTATAGGTTTGAGATCTAAAATGCCTGAAAGGTAGCAGCAGACCCTACTTCATGGCCACACAGGACTATCATGCACATTGCTGGGCAAAGACGACAGAAGAAATACAGGTACCGGGCTACATACCTGCATTTTTTTATCTTGTTCATTTTCACCTATCATTCCTGTGCCACTAACACCATCATTTCCATCAATAGACACCTGAAAAACAAAATTGAAATGGAAAACAACATTTACAGATTACTTCTATTCATCTGAAAAACAGAGGGGTACAGACAGTTCCTGACTGTTTATTGTTTCATAGCTCTCTAGCTCCCTCTGGAAAACATGGTTATCCTACATTAGCATACATTAGCTCACAGGTAAGCTTACATTAGCTTACATGGAAATTACCACTTGTAGCACCTGCATTATACAATATGTCAAATGAGTATCTCAAAGTTGTCTTAAAACCAGGTAGGAAAAACTGCAAGAACAAAGTACGTTAAATTAATAGACTGAAAAAAGTATTACTTAATTTTACAATACTTCATTCTGACAAAAAAATAAAATGTTTACTTTTGTAATACAGATAGATCGCTACACTGTTAAGCAGAATTTACTTGTTTCGAACAGCACAACTCCTTTGTAATCGAAATACATAAGACAGTGTGTTACATCTCAATTTGAAATTACAACAGCTACTCAAATTAGTCAAACTACAACAGCTAAGCAAAACCTGTGTATTGCTCCCTAGGTTTATTTTAAAAAAACAGGAGGAAAAAAGTATTGCTGCTTTCCAAGGAGTTTAAAATATCTGAAAGAATATTAGATCTTAATTGGAAACTTTTATTTAAACAAAAAATACAACTACACAGTTTAAAAAAAACCCAAACCCTCACAAACTCTCTCACAACCATTAACTCAAAGAACAGTGACTTACTGGCCACTGTAGAAAAAACTAAAATATATTTTATGTAGTTTCCTTAATTGTCTCTGTATTGAGAAGAGGCATTCACAATACTCTGAATCCATGACACTCAAGCCTGAGACTGATGAACCTAAATCTAGTCTAAGTGATTTTATTTTACTCTAAAGTAGTTTGGAAGGAACACTGCCTCTGTTACGCTTGTACACTTAAGCCCTTCCACTAAGAAGGTCATAGCAGGCTCCTGCAGATGTTAATGGTTGTGTAAAGTATCTTGCTCAAAGCAACAGCTACCAACATTTCTCTTGAAGACTGAAGATGAACTTGTCCCATAAGAGGTTTTCATACTGTGCTATCTGTCTAAATTAGACCATTGTGAATTATATACTTTTGACAACTTTTAGCTAAAACACTAACAAGTGCCCATGCAGAAGAAAGTTTACATTAGGGAGACTGCAAAGACAGTCTGCAAGCAGGTAATTCTCAGGTGTTCCGGTTTTGTTTTAAATAAACAAAACAAGGCCCCTCCATTTTGTTGCCTTCTCCTGAAGAATTTTTGAAGGGAGGGGAAAGAGCCTTCACAGACAGGAGACTTGAATCAGTTTACCCTGAACTTCCTGTTGTTTGTTGAGAAAGAAACTGCTGACATGAAATTAAAAGTTAATCAATGCCACTTAAAACAAATGATCCAAATGGGATATGCATGCACATGTGTAGATATACACAAATCACAGGAACTGTACTTTGCCAGCAGCTGGGATATTGCAAGAAACAGCTTATGGAAGAAAAGTATGTGTTGTAACTCTTCGCAATTACATCACATGCCTTCTGACTTCATGCTGAGAGCAATGATGTCTTTCCTTGGTTGCTTTGGGAGGAAGGTCGCAATGACTTAGCCCAAAATTAAGAGGACTCTAGTTAAGTCCCCACAAGAGTACATGTACTCTGCAAGATGTGGAAAAGCATTACTATGCCTAAAGGAGAAGCAAGGGACAATGAAAAATGTATGTTTCACCACTTCCAGTGATCTTCTACGCATTCCTCCTGGATCTCTTTGCATGAACTCTCTTACAGAGTCTTAACACCGATCTTGGGCAGCCTACTGACCTTCACTATTTCTGCCTGTTATGTAGGAAAGCAGAGAAGAACCACCATTCTCCGAATCTGCGTTTAAAATTTTCTTCACCCTTTTAAGTTTTGAAGAGAAAATCTCTGAAGTTAAAAAATCCAAGACACCAAATTTTAAACTTCTTTTTTACAGTACTGGGAAACACTGGAAGGATTCCAAGAAAGATCTTTGAGTTTCTCCTAAATGCCTATCTTAGATTCTAAAGAAAGATTTAGTCTGCCTTCAATTAAGAACATAACAGCACCTATACCAAGTCAAACTAAAGGTCAATCTAGTGCACCATTTTGTTTCCAACAACAGCCAGTAGCAAAAGCTAGAGAAGACTAAAGAACAGATCAAGCATATAGCGATATATTGGCAAAAATACTCTTCCAACCTCCAAGCAACTTGTGGCTTAGGAACTTCCTGAACTAGAAGTCAAATGTTTCTACCTAATAGCCCTGGATACATATTTCTTTTATGAATTTATCCCTCTGAATACAGGGACATTTTACTATCCACAATATCCCACAAGCAGTGCAATGGTCTAACTTTGTGCTCTTCCCCTATTTTTATTGAACCTGTTACCTGAGAGCTTCCTCTGATGTTTCCCAGTTCTTACACTGGTGATAAAGACAATGACAAGTCATTAGCCTTCTCTGTGCTACTTAGAATTTTATAATATTCTACCATATACTTACCTCATGTATTTCATTTGTTTGGTTGTCATTATTGCCCCTTTCTGTACCTTTTTCAATGTTCCTATAGCAGCTGCTATGAAAAGTGTACATTGCCTCACTATGAAACATACATGGACATGGAGCAGAATCACAAAACCATATTTCTCCTTTCAAAAGAAATATAGGGTTGTGACAATTGAGCCGTTATTTGCTTTTGTACTTAAAACAGGTGTAACACTTGGAAACCCATTTCTACTGACTTTCCCTAAGAGGTTCTAGCAGCAGATTTCAGAACAATGTTCTGAGATGAAAGCTTAAAGAACACAAACAGATTTTTTTCCAAAACACACACAGGTACGCTATGGAAAATAAATTAGAATCATAGAATCACAGAATAGAATCACAGAATAGTTAGGGTTGGAAAGGACCTAAGATCAACAAGTTCCAACCCCCCTGCCAAAGGCAGGAACACCTCACACTAAACCATGTCACCCAAGGCTCTGTCTAACCTGGCCTTGAACACTGCCAGGGATGGAGTATTCACAACTTCCCTGGGCAACCCATTCCAGTGCCTCACCACCCTAACAGGAAAGAATTTCCTCCTTATATCCAATCTAAACTTCCCCTGTTTAAGTTTTAACCCGTTACCCCTTGTCCTATCACTACAGTCCCTAATGAAGAGTCCCTCCCCAGCATCCCTATAGGCCCCCTTCAGATACTGGAAGGCTGCTATGAGGTCTCCACGCAGCCTTCTCTTCTCCAGGCTGAACAGCCCCAACTTTCTCAGCCTGTCTTCATATGGGAGGTGCTCCAGTCCCCTGATCATCCTCGTGGCCCTCCTCTGGACTTGTTCCAACAGTTCCATGTCCTTTTTATGTTGAGGAAACCAGAATTGCACACAATACTCCAAGTGAGGTCTCACGAGAGCAGAGTAAAGGGGCAGGATCACCTCCTTCGACCTGCTGGTCACACTCCTTTTGATGCAGCCCAGGATACAGTTGGCTTTCTGGGCTGCAAGTGCACTGAAGCTGGCTCATGTTCATTTTCTCATTGACCAGCACCCCCAAGTCCTTCTCCTCAGCGCTGCTCTGAATCTCTTCTCTGCCCAACCTGTAGCTGTGTCTGGGATTACTCTGACCCAGGTGTAGGACCTTGCACTTGGCATGGTTAAACTTCATGAGGTTGGCATCAGCCCACCTCACAAGCGTGTCAAGGTCCCTCTGGATGGCATTCCTTCCCTCCAGCAACCGAACCACACAGCTTGGTGTCATCGGCAAACTTGCTGAGGGCGCACTCAATCCCACTGTCCATGTCAGCAACAAAGATGTTGAACAAGACCGGCCCCAACACTGATCCCTGAGGGACACCACTCGTTACTGGTCTACAGTTGGACATTGAGCCATTGACCACAACTCTTTGTGTGCGGCCATCCAGCCAGTTCTTTATCCACCGAGTGGTCCATCTATCAAATTGATGTCTCTCCAATTTAGAGACAAGGATGTTGTGTGCAACAGTGTCGAACGCTTTACACAAGTCCAGGTAGATGACAGCAACTGCTCTATCCCTGTTCATCAGTTCCATTGCCCCATCATAGAAGGCCACCAAATTGGTCAGGCAGGATTTCCCCTTAGTGAAGCCATGCTGGCTGTCACCAAGCACCTTGTTGTTCTTCATGTGCCTTAGCATGCCTTCCAGGAGAATTTGCTCTAAGATTTTGGCAGGCACACAGATGAGACTGACTGGTCTGTAATTCCCTGCCTCACCCATTTTCCCCTTCCTGAAAATGGGGGTTTTATTTCCCTTTTTCCAGTCGTCGGGAACTTCACCTGACTGCCATGATTTCTCAAATATGATGGACAGTGGCTTAGCAACTTCATTCGCCAGCTCCTTCAGGACCCGCGGATGGATTTCATCAGGTCCCGTGGACTTGTGCAGATTCAGATTTTTAAGATGGTCTGGAACCAGATCCTCTCCTGCAGTGGGCCCAAGGTCTTCATTCTCACAGTCCCTGCATCTGCCTTCCAAGACCTGGGTGGTGCAGTCAGAGCCTTTGCCAATGAAGACCGAGGCAAAGAAGTCATTGAGAACCTCAGCCTTCTCCAAATCCAGGGTAGCCAGTTCTCCCGAGAATTAAAAATTCACATTACAGAATTGAAAAAACACATGCTGAGATAAATAAGAAAAACAAATTTGCATTTCTTCTTCTTCACCTTCACAAAACAGAAACTTACACCAATTTATGATTATTATAGCTCCTTGTTAAGCAAGACAAAGTTATGACTGATTTAAACCTAAATTAAATAGTAGCTAGGGAAGGTGTAAAAGCTTGTCACTACTGCTCAACTAACCTCAAATTACCTTTTATTTTATGAAATGTTAAGGCATAGCCAAACACAACACAACCTGACTGGCTCTCTTAGGACCTCTCTATTATACCAGACAGAAACGTAACAGAAAGAATAGAATATAAGCTATTTAATTATCCTAACTGGCCTTCTCCAAAACCTGACAATTCTCAATGACACCAGAAGACAGATTTTAAAATATATTATACTTGTTTTTTTCCACAGCAATACAGCTGGTGATCATCCAACAACTTGGACACTGCTAACCTATAAAGACATGGAAGTTGCGCCACCCATTATTATACTTGCATCATGCTTCAGAGAAGTGCAGTAAAGGGGACAACATGAATTCTGAGCATCATGCTACATTTTACTATTGAAAGTATGGATCAAAGGATTTTTTTCCAAACTCAATAACTTAATTGTCTGGTTTACACTTCATATCATGCACTGTCCTTGCCCAGTACACCAGGCCCTGTTCTTCCCAATGCAAGGGGAAAAAAAAGAATCAAAATCCAGCAATAGTGCCTGAACAAGAATAATTTAACTTTGTCCTTCTTTCTGAACACTGTCCTCTGAAGAGACGCCTTTCCAATGCTGTATTTCAGAGAAAATTATTTCTTAATTATAATTTTAATTCTTAGATCACAATTGGCTTTTGCTGCCAAGGATCTTATGATGCTACATTAAAACTTTATGGACCGAGAAAACGTTTTTCAATATACCTTGGCTGCATATTGCTCCAAAGCACTGATGGTATCTGGGTCAATGGCAGCATCTCCTGTATGAAGACCTGCCACTGTGCCATCAGCTTGAATGGCTAAAATGGTATCTGACTGTGGCATTTGCACTGTGTGGTGAATGTAGGCCGTAGTTCCATCCTCCAGCTGGACTGCTTGTAATGCACTCTGGTCGTAACTGTCTGAAAAATAATATTATAAACTGTTATGGAAGAAAATGAATAGCAATGTCTGCATGTTACACAAGAATACTGCTGCTTAGGAAATGTCTCTGAAAGTCCTATGTATGTGTGAAATATATAACCACTATAGATGTGAAACAAACACCTAAAATATTACTATGAATAGCACTGATGAAACTTTTTCAAGACAACACCTCCCACAGCTTTTATAAAAGTGCAAAGCTAATTTTATATTGGTCTACCTTTATTTACAAAGGAAACCAGGAACCCAAATATGCTTTCCATTCGTACCCACCCATAATAAAATGAAAATAATACATCAGATTTTAGAATTCATAGATCTGATCATTTTAAACACACAATCATGCAAATATGCAAAAGAAACACCCAAAATACAGAAAGACTTTTAAGGAAGAAATTCTTTATCATACCCTCTCCTCCTAGTATTGCTGATTGTAGAATGTAATACTTGCCACAAGAGTTTAAATAGACTTAAGATATCTGCTTTCTGTAGAGAAGTAGTACTAGTTCCAAGACTAGTTTAACCATTTTCTGCAGAAATCTGGGTTACTATTTAAAGACAGCTGCATTCTTGACTGTCAGCTGCAATTTTTTCTGCTCTGCTACCTAACAGCAAAATCATCAATAGCATGCTCTTTAAAATGTAAGTCAATCTCTGTGATTTTTAGCTTAAGAGGGATTGATTGATACTTACCTGCTTTCTCTTCTCATTTTCACATGCAATTACTGCTGAAGTCTGTTTAAGGGCTTACATTCTCTACTAACATGGCATATACTTAGTTTAATGAGATTCTGGGCTAAAAAAGGTGAAATACACCAGGTTTGATTCTGTAACTGTTATATGAAGCTCAAATAAGGAACTGAACTGGTTCCATTTCAACAATTTGTAGATGTCACAAAGTAAAAGCAACAAGAAATCATCAGGGTTCATCAGGAATCACACTAAATGACATCATAGTCTACTAACACTATTAGATTTTATACTGCTGAAGTTCTGTTTAACTCTGATGTAATAAATCACACTTAAAAAAAATAATTACCTTTTGAGGTGTGATGAATAAATGCTGTAGTTCCATCCTCCAGCTGAACTGCTTGTCCATCTTCCAGACGCAAGCTGTCTCCTGTTTGGAAGAAAGAATTACAATGCTTCAACAACAATTTGAAAAATCCATTAGTTGGAAAGATTAAACACTAAATACCTAGGATTACTAGGATCTCTTCACAACTGTTGCCATTAAAGTAAAAAACCAAGCTATTATAATGACCATTAATTACTTAATATTTATCAGTAATACACTATTCATAGAATCACAGAATGGTTTGGGCTGGAAAGGACCTTAAGATCATCAAGCTCCAGCCCCCCTGCCATGGCCAGGGACACCTCACCCTAGACTATGTCACCCAAGGCTCTGTCCATCCTGGCCTTGACACTGCCAGGGATGGAGCATTTACCACTAAATATATTTTAGAACCTATTTCTTTTATTACCACACTTACTGCTTTTAGGCATGGGTACATGTTGAACGTAAGCAGCAGAACCATCTTCTAATTGAATCACTTGTCCATCCATTAATTTCCCATCTGAAACACAATTAGAATTCTTAAAAAATATTCTCTATGACCCATCAGAGTTGATACTTTCTGGATTAAAATATCAATAAAATATCACCAAAAATAATGTTAGGTAAAGACTAAGTACAATATAATTACACACAGGTTTTAAAATTCTGGGATAAATAATAGGAAAAGGCCTGATGTCCTGTCTAGTAGGTAGAATGCTGATATTTGGGTTTTAAGCATAAAGATCATCTCTCACTTTGGTTTGACTTTCGTTCCACATTTGATACTGCATCTTACTAATAGCAGAAATAAATACTTATTTTATAGTATTACTGTAATACCAGCTGGAACTACATAAACATTTTGCCTGACTTCACAATCCAAAGGGGTTTACGATCCAAAAATGGTAAAAAGGGAAATCTGATTTGAATACCAATCAGCTTCTAGTCATTTACCTACCTTTAGAATTGTGCTGTATGTAAGCAGTGGAGCCATCAGCAAGGGTAACTGCTTGCAAACTTACACCTTCCATGTTTTCTAAGTTGTCACCATCTAGCAAGGAAAAAAGTAAATATTCACTATTACCAACATCAAGCTCTAAATATCACAACCACCTCTAGAAATGACTGCATCCCCTTAAAGCATAATTATTTAAAAAATAATAATAGGAAATAGGTCTTACTTGCTTTATATTTTTTTTAACTTTAAACATACACTAGGGTCCTATGTTGAAGATTTTGCTCTGTAAAGATGACAGCTACGATGTTACTTTCCTTAACTAAAAAAGGACACTGAATGAATAATGACACTGAATAAATAACTACAAAGCTGAGGTTCTAGGAGAAATAATAATTAGGCCATGTATGTCAACAGTACAGTAACAACATATATACTTGAATTGATAACTTCCTTTTGCACACTACTACCTGTCATTTAATAACACAAATCTATGTAGAGTAAAACACAGATTTAGGAAAAAGTTTTAAATCATGTAAAATCATAATGAAGCTGTCAGAAAACATCGAGTTTAAACCAACCCTAGATCACCAACCTATTTTAAAACTCAACTTGTTTAATACATTCTTAGATACAAAAATAAGTTACAAAGGATAAAACAGTAAAACTATAGTGAGAATAAAGTCAGATTCTGTACTTCCTATTTTGGCACATTTATACTCCTATTACCTTAAGATACCATTTCATTTCAGAATTCGTGAACTCAGTTAACTAAGAATAATTTGTTATATTTTTCCTTTAGAATACACTATGTGGGTTTTAGAGTTTTATCTAAATTTCAAACAGGAAAAAAAAAAAACAAAATATAGAAAGATTTTTAACCTGGAGATTCACCTTGCACAGCTACAGCTTCTGTTAGACAAAGAGTCACATGCTGGGCCTCCATTCCTCCTCCAGAAAATTCAGTCATGCCCTGAGAGTCTCGATTTATCTGAGCTAATAACATTGTCTACCTAGAAAAAAAGTATTCACAAAACACAGACAGAAAATTTAAATACAGAACCAGAAGTAAAAGACAATTCAAGTTTAATTAGATGTTTAAACAGCTGCTACAAATATTTGATGTTGCATTCCACATAAACAAGATACAGTGTATGACCAACTTAACTGAAAAACACTTCAGCAGGAAAAAAAAACGTGATCTGAAATAGGTTAATATTACTACCTCAACTAACTGAGCTGTTAAGAACTTCAGGTAGTAGTTATTAAATTGAAGTGCATCAACCACATCTAGATTTCAGTTAAATATTAATTATTAAAGCAATGTATAAAGAATAATGGTGGTAATGATGGTAATGATGGTACAGGTAATGATATCTTTTTGTCCCCAGAATTAAAATAAAGCTGACAAATCACCCATGGTCATCCATGACAACGGCATGCCTTTAACTAAATAAATTAAACATTTCCCTGGTGCCAGTAAGAAGTTTAAAATCTATCAAATGCTGGGAAATACACTATTAGTAAATCTGAGTGAATGATCCAATTATTTATCTAAACTTCCCAAAAAGGTTTCTAGGTTAAAAAAAAAAAAGAAAAAAATCCCTCCTTGAAAATTATAATAAAGTATTTCATGACAGAATGTATTAATACAGCAACAGGATTAGTGAGTGACTACATGCATCTCATAGAACCAGATACAGCCAGCCCTTTGGATACCCACGTGTGTTTCCATATGGGAGATTAAAAAGTCTACTGAACCTGAAAGGCTGCTACTAATTTTTGGTATTATTAGATTAAGAAGCTATAAAGGAAATATGTAAAATTGTATTTTACTAACTCAGATGTTGGCTTACACCATGGGCAAAGAGGGGAGGAGAGGACACACAACTAACACAGAAAATCCCCCTAAAAAACAACAAAAATGCTGGTCCTTGAGTTAACGTAACATTAGATGTAGGGAAGGGAGAGAAATCATATGGAATTGCAATCTAGGCTACACAGCATTAAGGCAACTTTACTCCCACCACAGTCCCTTCATAGTCAAGACTCTTTTGTTACAATAAGAAGCAGTTAAAAAAGGTTACGGATAAACAACCAAAGCTTTTAATCTTAGTATGGTTCTATGACCTGCTTTTTTATAATTCAAGGCTGAGAAGAATAATCTCATTTTTTAATTCACTTACATTTCTAAAAAGAAAAAATGCTTTTCCCTCTAGAATCCATAAATCTGACCTTGAACAAGGAACTCAATGATCTCAAAGACCACCAAGAAACTCATGCTTACATCAAAACTAAAGAATAATGAAAGCAGAATTAGACCATTCAGGTACTCCACCATGCCTGCATTATTTAAAACGTCTGGTACTTAGTAGTTGTGGATTATACCCGAGCAATATTTCCAAATACATCCAAATGACTGAACCAAATGATCTCCTAGAGAGGCAGGCACCTATACGTTTCTTAGCACAGAAAAAGTGGACCCACACCCAGTTGCTGTAGCTCTGCTGCTTTTGCTGGCTGAAGTGCTTTAACATGACTGCTGTGCACAAAGCAGATGGGTCACTGCCAACTTCTACTGTGATGCTATACCAAGTACCCACATTACCTCCTGAAACTGACCCGTAGTCTAAATCAACTTGGCATGTATGAGAATATTATTGACAATTTAGTTAACTGTTAAAAGACCAATTAATGGAACAGATATGGTCTATTAAAGAAAACCTTTAGGAAGGTTTTAAGGCTCCTGTGGAAAAAAAGCAAGTTTTTTCCACATACTACACTGAAAATCATATGAGAAAAAATGCTACCTAATAATCACCTACCAATTCACTAAGAAATATGCCTTGTAAGATTAAAATCCTACATAATATCTGAAACATTAACTAAAATACAGACTTTCAATAAAAAATGGGAACCTTAAACAACTCTAAGCATTAAAAAGAAGATACAGTTAAGACAGAAACCAAAATATAACTCAAAAGAGGAGAGATCCAAAGGAAGATAGGAAATTCTTGTTCCCAGAAACCATTTGGTTATAAAAGCCAAGCAGCTTTCATAGAAAATGAGGTCTCTAAAAGAGATGTAACACAACAGAAAAAGAGCCAGAGCAGAGAACCCATCCGGACTAAACTGCATTTATACTAGATTTCTTAAGAAAATTAAACAGCTACTTATTTTAAAGATACTATAATATAAGGGACAAGGAATTGTACAAGACTTAAGAGATCTTGAGTGCAACCCATTCCTCTGCCATCTCCACATTAGTGACTTTGGACAAGTAGGTTCTTTCCCTATTACTCATTTATCCCCCCAATCTCAAAATGGGGACAAAATGCTTACTTAGGACACACTTTACTCATAAACCAAAAATGGGACAACATGCTGCAGCTACAGGATCAGCTTAAACAAGCACTGAAGTGGCCGTACGCTCAGCACTCATGTACTGTGCAGCAAATAAAATGAAAAAATGGATGCAGTTAAAAAAATAAACTAGCACCAACAAAAAGAAGTTTTATTCCAGACCAGTTTGCAGGGACTGCTGCTTAGGAGGTACTGCCAGCTTGTAGCTAGCAAGTCAAATTAAGTCATTACCATATCAGCTGCTAATGGTGCCGAGAGGCTCAGTCTTAACTGCGAAGTGTTCTGTGTTGTCAGTGTTTTCCATTCAGTTTTCAGGACACCTGATGGAAGTAGGCTGCAAAGCAGGTAGACCATTTCACACATTGAAAAAAGGCTACAGTTAACAGCAGGGACTGCATCTCAAAAGCCTTTCAGGTCTGCTTTAGAGTATTCCCTCTTGTGTGAAGTACCTTTCAAGAAGCACCAAGCATCTTTAATATACTATCAACCTTTAAAATAGAATAATATCCTTCCTCCAGGGCTTATGTCTCTTCTCTCAACTTTGGGAAAGCAGAGAGGAAGCCTTTCAAAGGACAACTGTGAAGTCCTGAAAGAGTCAGAGTACAGCCATTCACTTAAAGGGTCAATGGCTATTTTGGAAGAAAAAGAAATCTAATGAAAGATAAATTCAAGGGCTAAAGGAGCAAAAAGTATCAGTTTAAATGATTTTACAGTGTTTGTTACTGTAGCGTGGCTGATTAATAGTTATCACACAGTAAAAAACAAAAAACAAAATCAAGAGTAAACTGCTGCTGCACACAGCAGAATACTTTCATCTATTCCAGATGATCTGGACAACCACATGATGTGACTTACACAGACTGTTACTGTTTTCTCCAAGTTCCAACACCCTTAAAATTATGCCTTCCAATATACCCTCTTCTCAATCCTCTGTCCTTCCACTAGCCTTTTATCCCCAGCTCCATCCCTTCTCCTTGAAGTACCAGTTTCCTTCTTTAGCTGGTCTTATGGAACCAAATTTCCAGCACATCCCTTTTCTCAAATACAATCCCATCTTTCTTGTCAAAATCATCTAGAATACTCCCATGTTTAAACCAACTCCTGCAACTAGTCCCCAAGTCTCGTCTTACTGGTAGTCTGCTCTATATGTCCATCATACCATTTGCTATCACCTTCTTGCCTCTTTGTCTCAAGACAGTTCATGTTCAGACCCATCTTAGAAGCACACACCCCCTGTAATGGAGACTGTAGCACTCCCAAACAGCAAAACCACAGCTTTCATTCACTCTTTGGTGATGCAGTAGGTTTGCTCTGCCATTCTGCTGTGCACAGATGAACACCCTCAGCCAAAAGCGGATGTGCTGCTCACTTTCGGCCTCTTCCTCTCCACTGGAGAAGACAGGCTAACCAGACAGGGCTGCGAGCTCTGAGGAAAAGGGAGGGAGAAAGAACCAAAGGAGCCATAAAGTTGGCCTATGTTTTAGAGAAATGTCTCTACCGCAGAGATGTTGCTGCCACAGCATTACCTTTTTTCCTGTATGTGTGGTCAGACATAGGAATGGGTTGCCAAGAAAGGTTATGGACTCTTCGTCCTCGCAGGTGTTCAAGACTCAACTTGACACAGCCCTGGGCAGCCTGGTCTCATCAGACCTGCACTGATCAGGGCTGAACTAGTTAATTTCTGAAGGTCCCTTCCAACCTGAAGTGTTCTGTGGTATGTAATCATTTTGATATTGCATAAATTTAAAACAGTATCACCATGCTGTTGGTACATCATCCATCCTGCAAATCTAGCCTCCTATCATACTTTTGTTCATTTACCTTGCTTTTTTGAAACCAATCTGTTTTTACCAAATTCAAGTCTCTTCCCTTACCTCACCTTTAGTCACTCTCTTCCCTTTCTTTTCTCCTAACTGGCTTATACACTGCTTTCTCCTCAGCTTCCAGCAGATTTGCCTTCATCCTTTTTCCAATCCATATCTCACCATCTTCTTTCCCTAATCCACCTCACTGCATTTATTTCTGTGCATCTGCCTCACTAAGCTTTTTCTTTAAACCTCCTGTCTGCCAGGAATTTTGTCAGCAGGAACCTGGGAGAGAAAGATTTCCTTTACCTTTCAAATAGTGCACCTCATTAGTCAAAAAGCATCTGAAAGCATCCATTTTTAGGAAAATACATGAGTCCAAGGGTAGGACCTTGGATGGCTGCTTAACAAGATTTGTTCACGTGTATGCTACTTAATCTCAAGAGCTGTCCTACAGAAAAGAAGCAAGTACAGGCTTAGTCATGAGGTGCCCATTGAAGTGAAAATTTGAGAACTGATTTTGTGAAGTCTTGCAAATCTTCACAGCTGATACACAAGCTGCAATTTTCAAAGGCACATTAATGACCATATTCTGGAAGACTTTCACAAGGACAATAATGCACACTGCTTCCTGAAATGATTAGTCACCAAAACACTCCTATGGTATTCATGCAAAGAAAATCTTACTATCTTATAAGATGGTTAAGATACTCCCCATAAAAAAAATAAAATCAGCCCGAGACAGAACACGATTGGACTGAAAAAAAAACTCTGAAAACAGTGGAAGCAATAGCCAGTCGCAAGAAGTGATGCTGAAACAAGTCTCACACTTATTAGTTACAAAA